ATCTGTCAATTAATTGACAGAAACCCCTCAAAGTAGCCAGAGGTACCCCTGTACTTGCGCAGAGCTGAGGTACAAGACCTCATCTGTCAATTAATTGACAGAAACCCTTCAAAATAGCCAGAGGTACCCCTGTACTTACACAGAGCTGAGGTACAAGACCTCATCTGTTTATTTTTAGTTAACAAATAGGCAAAACTTCAACTCATATTTCAGGTGGGAAATGTTTGTCCAAGATGCTGGACTGAAGTGTTAGCAGTAAAGATTCTGTGCACTGTGTAGAGGTGCTACCATTTGTCAATAAGGAAATGCTTTATTCTGCATGTAGTGAGTGGTTAGCAGATATTTTGCTGTCACTTCAACAGATGTGTGCTGAGCAGAACCATAAACTGCATTTCAGTGATGACACCTGTTCATTGATGAATTGGTGTGTGCGAGGTTCAGTTTTATGGAACCATTAACCCTAACCCTCCTCAATCCTTCACCTGTTGGAGGACTGAGGAGTGTTAGGGTTAACACACAGCTTGACAAACATTTTAAAAAGAAAACACAAATCAACAGGGCACCAGTAATGTCAATATCCTACACATAGCATTTGGTTGGTAAACTAGATATCTTTCCAGTCCCTTTCCTGAAATGGCTTCTGGTTGCTGAGATTTTACCATTTTGATTATTAATTTATTACAGCCCTCGTTCGGAGACTGAATACGATTATTTCATTATAAATACCTGCTGAATGTTTTTCAAAAAGAAATTGTAATGTAAATAACACAGCATAGGTCTACTGTAGTCGCAAAGGAGGGATATGTAAAAATTAATTTAAAAGTCAATACCGATTCAATTTTAAAAAGTCTGTTGCATAAGTGACAGCATGCAGTTTCATGACATGTTTACTCACGAAGCTCCCTTGTGTCTCAGTAGTAATCATTTTTATAAAATAATTATCAGATGAATTTATTCAGTGTTGTTGGAATAATACAATTAAATTGTATACGAAGAGGTACCATCCAGTGAAAAATAAAGTATTTTACTGTAAATAAAGAAACAGAAAATTCATACAGCGTTTGTGTGGGTGTTGTTGAACTTCCACTTAGTTTACTATGTTCACTTAAGCGCAAATTGAAAAAAATCCCTTTTACTGTGTACTTTAAACTTTATGAACAAAAACAGACTAAGACAACATTTTAAGTGTTCAGATTTGAGATGATGTCTATGGTCTGCATGTCTTATCTAGATTTCCAAGATGCCCCCAAATGTGAAATCTATATCTAGTCAACTTGATGGTAAGTAACGTACACACCTCCATAGAGCTTGTGTACATTTTGTGTATTCTGTTGCATAATTAGAGGATTAGATAGTGAGATGGGCTCAAACATTTTGTCTTGCGTCCTGTATTGTCTAGTTACAGTCCTTCAGTGAGGACAAATTTTGAGAATGCCGAGTTGCAGTATTGATTTGTGGAAATGTATCAGACACGTCTCTAGTTTACAGGGAGGAGGAAATTCCAAAGCAACAAACCTTTTCACTGTGTTTTTCATTTTTTGATGGGATGGACAGGAAAATGGGGAAAAAAAGAAAAAAACGATTGAAAGAAATAGATGGAAAAGTAACACTTTGAGCAGATTTTAGTTGGAAAGTGCTATCGGTACAACCATGAAATTATTTTAGTGTAGTCAGCCATTCTAGAAATGCATTTTTCTACAATGAAAAGTATTAACTATCAGAAGGGCAACATTTCCTTCTATTAGATTTCATGTCATGAGGAAGTCATACTTTGAAAAGATGAATTCCAAAAACTGCAATGAAACAGCACTTGATCCTAAGTCAAATGGGGCTGATGACCTATCTGCAGTAAACTGTTAAGCTTTGTTTTCTAAATTCATCAAGGAAATGTGTTTATAGCATCAGTGTAAACCTGAGAGCAAATGGGAAATTTATTTCTTGCTTTTTGGTCAAGCAGAGAACGATAAGAGAATTCATTTACCAGCCAGTTCTATGTCTGATTTGACAGAAATCAAACTACCTGTTGACCATCTCTGCTGCTGTCTTGAAGAGAAGTCGGTTGGTTTGTTTCAACTTCTCCAGCTCTTGCTCAAGTTGTTGACGCGAGGGTTCATTTGGCTTTTTTGTACTGCTCTGCTAAAAAAATGGAATTTACAAAATCACATAAACATTGATCTCATGTTCCAGTGACAATAAGAAATAAAGTTTGACAATATTTAGAAAATGCGCACAGCTTTACTGAACAAAGTGCAAAGTGAGTCTAATATACCAAGTCTGTGTACCTTCCAACAAGAGACAACATCAAGGCAAGTCACTGCCTTGATGTCAGTATTGTAATCAAATCCATCACAGCTCACAATTCTTACAATGCTCCGCCAGTTATCCAGAGCCTCAGTCAGAAACTGTCTCGATGAACTGACAAAGGTATTCCTTTATCACTCTTCATTCTCTGCTACTTATGGCTGGACTAGCGATTTTACTTCAGACTTTTGACTGCCTGATGGACTCCATGACAACACTGATAGGCATGCTAGTTGGTCTCTGATTGCCATGACACTGTTGGGTTCTGCTTTTCACTCATACATGTATATTCCCTGCTTCACAACTTCATAACATTTTGCTTTACCTGTTGCTGTACTGCTGCCTGGATAAGCATGTGTTCTTTGTTTCTGTCTTCATCCTCATCTGTTGATACCTTCAAAACAGAAGACGTTAACATCATGACTACCGTTACCATTTAATTATCTGCAGGTCCTGACCTTTGTCTTAGAACCTTACTTATTACAGCCATTGATCATGGCCATCCTTATGCATGCCAACCTCATTTCCATAGTATGCTCCAGTACCTTTCACAGAAACCCTACAGAAATTTCTATATGATTGCTGTCAACAACATACAGACTACTACTATGAGTGTATACCAACCTGGTCTTGTAACCTGACTCCAATCTCTCCCCCACTTTTCTCATCTCCATCTGCTTCCGCTGACAGCAGGTGTCGTTTAAATGTCTGCAATGGAAATGTTGGCTTACTCTGACTGTTGACTAAGTTGCCTGGAGACGGAGTGAATTTGACGTTAGATACAGCTCCTGGTGTGAAGGAAAACACTGATTAGAATCTTTCATTGTGCACACTGGTGACCTTTGACCTCAGGTCATTCATTGGTTAAGCTCCAATTCAATTTAGCTCCACTCACCCTTATGATTGAGGGTTCGAATCTGCTGTTTGCTATTAATGTGCCAGATGCATGCCGTGTTATCCTGACTTCCAGACACCAGTAACGTACCGTCCATAGACACCGAAAGACATGTCACTGGTTTGCTGAAAGAAAAAGTATACTTGCTAGGGTATATTTGAGAGTCATCAATGCACACAATCAGATGAGGTTTTTGAGCTGATGACAGCCAGGATGCTTTCCATGAATCATCTAACTGCAGCTACAAATATCTAGCTCTAGCAGTCCCTGTGTTTGTCTGTTTGTCTCTTTTCTTTCGGTCATTTTCTTGTTATTTTCTAGTACAACACAAAAGGGGAATCCCTGGTTTTATCAATGAAAATAAAGATCAGAGGCCACTGTCACTAGACTTAAGGAAGTGAGTTTGTTAAGGGGCAGGAAAAGGTTATCTGTCTCTGTGCATCAGTTGAGTAAGTCTAGCCTAAAATACGTCTTCTACTGACCTATGACCTTTGAAGACAGATGAGTCCATTTCTTCAGGTTCTTCTTTGGAAATATGTTTCTCCATCTGTACATTCTGTCCAGATCAAACACATTTGAAGCGATGCTTACATTGATGTGAATGCACCAATGATTGGTCAATATTTTGAAGTCAAATACGAGATATCATGGGGTGCAAGATTTCAAATAATAAGATTCTGAATCGGACCCATTAGAGTGCTGGACCTTAAGATTCATTCACTGCTTACCGAAGCAAAGAGGTTCACTTGATAAATATTTCCATCAGCACATCCAGCAAAGAGGTGATACTCAGCTGTATCCATGGCAACAGAACAAACTGGTGCATCGAACACAAAGTTGCAAAGAAGCTCACCTGTTGCTAAATCCCACAGCTAGATAAAATTAGGGAAAAACTGTGAAACATCACTTGTTCAGAAGTGGTTTTTCTGCTAACTTAATCAGCCAAACAGAATACAGGAAAGGCATAAGTGTCATAGCATAAAGAAGTAAATCAACCAATGGAATCTTGTGAACTGGAGAGTCACCCCATCCACATTCAACAAGAACAGGTCACCGGTCTAAATGTTACCTTGCATGTTTGGTCATGTGATGCAGATATGACCCTTGACCTGGAACCTCCTATGCCACAGTGAACATCAGTGATTGGCAGGGCATGCTTGGACCATACAAACAATGGTTCACAAGGCTTCAAGTTGGAGACTTGCTGCAAAATACTTTTAAGAAATACAAACACTACAACAAACGATAATAAATACATGTATACAATTTCTACAAATTCCCCAAAATAAGGGAAGAGGGATGGACAGAAAAGATTGTGCTCCTTCCAAGTTTAACTAGACAAAGTAACAATCTTATGAAAACAATTCTTAAACATTGATTTGATTGAAGATGAGGATATACAGAAAATTGGTGCTGACAGAGGGCTTAAAAAGATTGTAAGAGTTTTTAATATTGAGTCCATAAGTTGGTTCTCCATCTAGTTTGAATACCTTGCTGTATACCAGACAATGACCAGGTTATCCTCTGCACCAGTTATCAAATGACTCCCATCATCTGTAAAGCACATGCAAGTAACCCTTTGGTAGTGATGTGATAGAACTGCTAACTGATCACCACTGCATGTCTGTCAAGAAATAAAAAGCCAATTGAAATTACAGTTGAACCTCGTTAATAAGAGCACTGTTAATACAAGAGTCTGCTTATAACAAGAACATTTTTGAGGTCCCAATCCTTTGTTTCTCATTGTTTTCATTCCTCGTGATACAAGGTTCCTGTTATAACAAGGTAATTTGCCAAGTCTGAAGGACCTCTTATTAATGAGATTTGACTGTAATTAGGAGAAGTCAAGTATATGTGACTAGTAAGCCTTGGTGTTAGAAATTAGAATGTATAATTTTGAATTATCAATGAAGAAAGAAATTCTTTGGATTTGATTCGATTTTGAATTTTTCACGATCAATACCTTTTGGTAAATTTTGCCCTGTAAAGGCATGGACATTGATATACATAATACGGCAAAGACTTGCATTTGAACAAATGTTCAGTTCATCTTTAATGCTGTTAAAGAACTCAAATCTTACTTTAGACTAACCTTAATACCTTGGATGGCAGTTGGCCAATGAAACTTATTCAAAGTTCACAAATGCATATTTCCCCTTCTCTCTCTAAACTCAAGCAAACATTTACCAGAACATACCTGCCACATATGAATCTTCTCTGCTATTCCTGCAACACATAATGTACTGTCTGGTGATGCAGCAAGACAAGACACAACACCAGGACACACTATCCGCTGCTGTTGTAGCTCCTATAGATGGAATGGAGATACAAGCAAATCATCTATCTCTACATGGAACAGCCGTTGAGACGACGAGGGGTCAAGTGACATAATGTTCAACGACCTTATTTTAAAGATGGCGACTGTGAGAGCGAGCCCGTGAGATTGAATACGTGAAGGCAAAAACACTGAAAAATACCAGAACGACGTGAGTGAAATCATTCAATAAATGGCCCTAAGAAAGCTGAGAGGCTAAGGATCATCTCTGTGTCCAAAAAAAATTGCGCCTAAGAGGGTGTGCCCAACTTTTTCACTACACCGACACACAAATTGCATATATGGATGTGTGGCCAAGGATGGAGCGGTGGCGAGAGTCTGTGCCACACTAGTCAGCTAGTGCCAGTGGGACGTGGGGCTACATTTTCACCTCCTTTTAGTTTTAAAAATTAATTGTGACTGGAGACTCACTAAAACCTTACAGTTACACTGTCACTGGCTGATGATCGAGTGAGTTTGCAACTTGCGTCAGACATAAAAGATGCTGTCATATCATGTCACGTTATGTGCAGCTCTCATGGCTGTTGCCTGCTGACACTGCACTGCCTACCTTTTTTTGTAGAGCCCACACGTAAATTATTGGTTTACTGAGGGCAGCCGATATCAAGAATTGCCCGCTAAGACAACAAAGGCTCCGAGGGCCGCTACATCCACCTTTGTAAGTCTGAAGAGCAGTTCCCGAATGGAAGTCCCAAATGCAAACATTCCATAACATACCGCTGACATCAGTCGAAAGCATGACTTCGACGGGCGCCGCCATGATGATAATACAACCTTGAACTGTAGAGGGCGCTAAACATGGCATCTTATTTACTCCGGCAATTGATCGAGTGAGCCGCGTTGCTTAGACATTAATTGAGGCAAGATATGGGACGGAGAGAACCCCCTGGATTTGTGTTGGTCATAGTTAGATCAGAATCTCAGGAATTCTTTACAAACTTATAGGGGGGATGTGTTAGGTAACAATAGTTTAGAGTATGCATAGGGATTAGACAGGTAAGGGGGGTACCCCTCCCGCGTCCCATATCTTGCCTGGTATAGGCTGAGACGTGACCTTTTTCTGTGTTCCTAATTTTCCATTCTGTGTTTGTGTAACAGTTAGTATTAATAAACAGAGAAAGGATATGAGCACGTTTTTCTTCCACCATGGTATCCAAAAACTATCGATACATTATAGTTAAGGAAGTCACTTGGTGAAATGATGAAAACCACTTGTTATAGGCCTACGGTATCTTGCTTAATCAATCTGCACTTGGCTCCTTGCCAGGCAAACTTAGGACGACCGTTAATGGGCCAGTATTTTTTTACATATCGGAGTCTTGCTTACTTCTAATTAATCTTTAGCCGCACAAAGTTGGAATCGTGTCCTTTAAAGAGACCCATGACAAAAGTTTTGGCGGGAAATATTTTACTTTACGCTCTTAGAACTTGTACCAGTTAGTGAAGTTTTACATATTATAGTTTCAGGTTGAATGTTACAGCAAATGGGAGCATAATTTTAATATGGAAAAGTATGATCCTGTGATTTGTTACAACATCGATCAGAATTATCATTGTCTTATTGTAGACATTAATTTTACACAATCCCATCTAAACCAGCCTTTACCCTCATGGTAAGCATGCGGAGGAGCACGTACGAAACCACGGTTCCATGTAAAATATCTTGAAACTCAAGAGGATCAAGAGTCCATAGGTTTATTATTTTCGAATTATTCTCGAATGTTCGTGGTTATTTTTCAGGCAGTAGATCTTTGACGCACACCCCATCAAGATGAGAGCAGTCGTGGTGTTTGCTGTTCTTTTTGGCTGTTTAGCCATCTTTCTCTACTCAGTCGAAGGTAAAATTCACATCAATTTCCAGCTGAAAGGTTTGAAAAGTTCCATAGTTTGATTTTTTCTATGAAAATACTTCGGTTTCAGGAAAGTGAAGAAGGAAAAGAATGCATGCCACTGAAATGCCCAGGAATTGTACTCATTGTTTGCGTAATTCTGTTATCAACACGATCAAAATGTTTTAGGTTGCGTGTGTTGTTTACTAGTCTATTATTTGTTACGGAAGCAGACAGGTACCATGAAGATTTAAAAATAAAAATAAAACTTTTACTCGCCAAGGTGAGATAATATCGCCACCATTTCTACACCTCTTGCAAAGATTTACGAATATTGACCCTGTTCCATTCTTGTAGGAGCTCCAGCTGTAAAAAGCAACAAGGAGAATGGAAATAAAGAAAAGGTAATGCCTCGCCAGAAGTCAGGTGCTGAAAAGCTTGGAAGGAAATTTGATTCTATTCGAAAGGGATTTCTCAGGCCACGGTAGCGGCTTCAATACAGATTGGCTACACTTTGCTCGGAATTCAATGATTAAATATCGACAGGAAAGGTTTATTTTATTATCATAGCACGCAACACGGCTATTTTCCCTTCCAGTCATATAAAATTGATCTTCTGCTTTCTTTTGTCTGTAACATCTTCATTCTTCAACGCAAACGTAAACTTTGAAAATGTCTGTGAAAATTAGAGGTACGTTCCAAGTTTGAACATTGTAATGTCTTCCACAGTTGATTGGGCCAAACAAGGCCGTGAGAGCCCTTCTGGAATCGGTTCTGAGTCGACAGAAGGTGGGTTAACATTGTTATATCAGCGCCGTCTTTAGTACTTATTACACTTTGACATTATCCATGTATATAGTTTGGGACAAAAATTGTACTGACCAACAGAATAACTAAACAACTCATCCTGTTTCCGGAAAAGGCCTACATTCCTAAACACCCTCTCTCCGACAGTTAGGAAAATCGATACCTGTACTTACAATAAAAACGGGGGAAATGGGCTCTTTGAAACGGATAAAATGACTGGTGGTGAAAATGCATGCTTATAAAATTACCGTTCTGAATCGGAGGTGTGGCTAGGGCGAAACTCGGGGTGGTATCTGGGGTGCTTACACTTTTTCAAAGAGGCACCGATGAAAGCAAATTTCTGCGTCTTGCATATGAGCCCCTAGCTGAACCAATTTTCTTGGGGGGGGGCTCCCTTGAACTGAACTTCGCTGCATGGTTCACAAACGGTCGCATCGCTACCAGCAAATGGACACTCCCGGCCAACATGGCTCTTTTCAACAGATGAGGGGGTGCTTCTGCTCAAGGCAGTATCAGTCAAGATCAGTCGGAGATGGGCCCAGAGATCACTGAGGGAAATAACCCCCGTAGTTGTGTACACGTACAATATGGTGAATTGATAACGCCTTTGATTGATAGACACTGGCAGATATTAGACCCCTTTATATAAATATTATGTTCTGTTATTGTTTCATGTCCGCAGATTTTCAGAATTACAATCAGAGTTGATTATTGATTTTTCGTCGCAGATGATTCGTCAAGGGAGGTCCGCAGGGGCTAGGAATGCTAGAGCTGATCCAACCAGAGGTACTTGACGAGGAACGGGCGTCCTTTGCCGACCGGGTTTACCCTAGATTTCACAGATGGTGAGGCTCAGCCCATCAGCACGTGATATCTAGGACACATCAGCGAAAGTGAGGAATGTCAATCAGCCGAGATCCAGGATCAGAATGGGAGAATTCGTACTGGATTAATTAGGACCATAACTTTCGTCAAACTTCTGTAACTGCAAATGGGCCATTTAAAATCGCAAATTCCTTCAGGTTAGTAGGGAGCCTGAAAGTATAAGGTCGCGCAGCGAGCTTCCAGATCCCTCGCGTCGCCCGTTCTCTATTTTGGAAAAAATGATTTCTAACTGTAACCACCCCAAGACACACTCTTGTTTGAATTTGATCTTTGTGTTCTTCATGTCATATTGTTGAAAGTCACATTGAGATGGGTTAATCTCTTAAATTTTACATATATTTTGAAGTGTTCAAAGTCTTTATGTACCTGTTTGTGATTTGTTTCCTCTACTACCTGCATACGTCTACATGACCTATATCAGCCAATCCCTCCACGGAGCTGTTATAGTGATGACCTGACCAATAGCACTTCAACAAAGTGGAGGAAATAACTCCAAACAGGTATAAAACTGTTAGACACCGTAGCTTAGTGTTGAGCAAATAGTCGCATAAATGAACTCCTTGATCTTTTAAGACGTAACTAGTTTCGGTCTTTTCACAGAAAAATGTTCCTGATATTTAAATATTAAAGACAATCGAATGAGATATGAAAAATGGTCGACAATGATGTAATAACATTGTGATATTGAGGTACGACAATCACAGCCTGATCTTCAAAATGGTGTGCCACCTTTGAAAGCCATGGGGAAAATTGCGTTAAAATTTGACGGGAAAAATCACAGATTGGTTTCCGAAGAACAATTCGATTTAAATCTAACAGCTATTCGGTAATTCTTCTTAGATCATAGAATATGTATATTTCTAATTTCACGGTGTATTTGTCTTTGTATTTTCGCTGCGTTATTTGGGTGTTCGTCTAAATGATCACTTTCCGCTAAACCGTGAACAACGGAACGGAAAGTGGGATCCTTACACCGACGGCTACAAAATGAGCGGGAAAATACAAAAGCAAATGCATCACACGCGGAAATTGAAAAGAAACTTGATGTAGACAGATGATTCTTGACAGATGTTATCAACTAATGATGCAAAGAAATAAAGAGCTTTATGTTCAATTTTATTCGGTTTGCTTTAAAGCCTCTTGTTCCTTATGATACAATTCATACTCCTTTTAGCCAGTTTATAATTGCGTTGAAAACATCTATCGTCGATGCACCCAAAGGCACTGATATACCTGAGGTCGGTAGTGAATAACAGATAAAGATACAAACACAGCTTGACTATGGGCGTCACCAGAATTCTTCTGGGGGCAGGGGGTAACCATTGAAAGTGGACGGGGTTATTTTCAAGGAGTTTTTTTCCTGTTAGCAATTAAAATTGCTTAATATAAATTTGGCGTATTGGCAGTTTAGTCGTCAGATTATCTCACGCGCACACTTCAGAATTTAGCTGATTGAGTATTCAGCTTAGAAGTTGGTATATACCCAAACAAACACATCCAATTGGCAATGACGTCATTACCAACAAAATATTCCTGTCAAAATCTATAATATCTTCATAAATCAATGCACATGCGTATGGGTTTCCAACTAACCACCGAAAATGTTTTCATTATTTTCAAGTGATCATACTTTTGCAGCTGTTTAACGTCTAGACATGTCGCAGTTCTGATAAATCCAACTTTGGATTTACTAGGCCAAGCCTTAATGGCGGAAACATAATATTATTAAAACGGTCGTCTTGTAATTGTATCTTCCAAAATGTATCAAAGACGAAAATTTATGTTTTCCGATATCAAACTTATGCCAGTTGTTGATAATGCTGATATTTCTCTGAGGTTAAAATATCTATCATGTTTTGCTCTTATAAGTGTTGTATCGTAATAAAACGCTCAAAACTCCACCTGTAGATTACAAAGCAACTGTACAGTTCGTTCGAGTGGGTAATTTCCCTTGACATCTATCTAGTGGAACAGACTGAAAAGAAAAGACAGGTTGGCGTAGTGTTTCGCTCCTCGCCTTCCACCTCTGGGGCCTGGGTTTGACTCCGGCCAGGTCCACAATGTGGATTTGAGTTTTCAGTTCCTATCCGAGTGAGTTGGTTTTCCTCGGAAACATTTATCCGGGGTTTTCCTCCCACCTCTAAAACTGAACATTTCTTGATTGTCTTCTCCACTCATTTAATACCATCCTGTAATTGGCGCTAATTGCTCTGTTGGTGATCAGCAATTCTGGGGACTGCATGGTAAGATGTGGGATGGAACTTGCCCAGCCGTGGAATTCGAAAAGCGCAAGAGCCGTGGAGTGCTGGACATCACATGCTACCAAGGCCTCTCGTCATGCATGATACAGGAGTACATGTAGACCCGTTGGCCTTAAATCAAAACGGTGTATTTGAACTGTTGTAATTATTCTCCCCTTTTCAATACATTAGGTTATTGAGAAGTTCGAAAAATACTTCAAACGTGAAATCCGCCCTGCCCCTCCCCCGTTACGAAAAAGTGTGTGAGAGGCGGTCCAACAGCCAATCCCCCACCGGTGTACAGGTGGAGGTATAGGCCTACCCTACATCCCCCGTGACTATAAGCCCCTGCATTCAATCAACAGGTAAAGTAAATCAAAGGCTGTATTGTTAATATGTTTTGTGCAATGAGAGGTAATTCGTTTGGGTCATTGACAACTGCCGACTGTACTTGCTTTGAACTAAGTGCATTGAGAATTATTCCTGGGCATTCCAACGAGGTACATAGGTCAAAAACGCGATGTTCAAATACTTGCAAACAGGCCCATGAATTCTTGTAGAATGTGTATATTAAAATAAAGAAGGTCATTCGTGAATTGGTGTTCTATGCAATCTGTCGTTTTACCATTCAGATGCATATTATTTATTTCAAAATGAAATATGTTTGTGTTGTTCATATTAAAAAGAACATGTTATGTAATAGGGCGAAGGTGCACATGCCCAATACTGAAGAGGTTATTTTACAACACATGGACACTGAAGCGTGTTTTATACTGAATGAAATGTAGAGCAGCATAACAAGCACTCCGTTTTGTTAAATTTCTGTTCAAGTTTGACTACTTATGATTTCCTTAAGAACTCTGATCAGGGAGATCGATTAGCTTGGTTTGAAACCCAATCTAGGAGGTCGTGAACACAGATGTTATCTCAAGCTAGAGTCATTGATATTCACGATTTTACGCGGGCTTTATTTACCTCCTGCAAACAACATCGCAGCAGGTGTAAGTTGACCCACACGGTACGGTAAATTCATACTGTTAAATAATAAAGATCGTAGCGGTCAAAGTGTACCTCGGCTCTCTGAAGTCCTGCACGTATACTTCATTCAACGTCACAACCCTGCACGGCACATTTTGCATGCTCAGCGTTGTTACAAATAGGGCACCTTTCACATGTTTAAGGCTTCATCTTGTGACTCGTTGAAACTGCTACAACGTTGAATTTCTATTTTATATGACTCCAATTCCTTGTGGCTAGAACCGATCAAAGGAAGAAACATGAAGTCCATCAATACTGTTATTCTCATTCTTGGAGTTGCAGTTTGTACTTACGGTGAGTGCCGCAGTTTGAGGTGTTCATTTGTCACGGTATTCACAATACCCAGATGTATGATATTCATTGTAAGTTTGGTTGCAAGTCCCCTCTATTCACTCATTATACCTTCCTCAAATGTAATAGTTGAAAACGAGGACAAGGTTACATTGATGGGGTTTTGCTGTAAAACCGTCAACTGATGATTCTCTTAAATGTAGTTGGAGTCATTAGTTCTGCATACTGATCTGTACGACCATGCCTGCCGTACGAATGACGCACTGCATGTTTAATAACCCTTCCAGGTTGAAATTTCAAGAGGTTCTGAAATCATTTCGGTCTCAGAATCTACTTAGGACTGTCTAAGAAAAATTTGGCTTTTTTAGTGAGGTTCCATATGTTTTGTATCTACTAATCAGTGAAAACATTCTCTTAATATTTAAGCGAGGTTGAGTGCTTGGATAATTAGGAATGTCTACTTCTTCAGTGATATCTGATGTTTTGTTCAATAATTAACAGACGCCAATTTAAGGAATCAGTAGTCTGCGCGTAGGACTTGACAGGCCTCGTGGTAATATTCCAGTAAGGAAGATGCAAACAATCTCAACCGCTCAAGTTCGCAGCGAGAAGATATGCATTTTTCTCCTAACCAGAAACAACAAATGTTTTCTGTTTCGATGGCAAATTGTCGGGAGAAGTTTGCAGTCAGTCCAGGCAGTCGTAACAGAAAGATTCAGAAATCTTATCCAGATATTTGCTGTGTTGGAGCACGCTGCGGGGACTTGGTTACTATTGGATAAAGTGAAGACCACATTGAAACTGTGAATTTTTTGGCCCAACGTTGGGTACCAGGTCAATCACCTTGTTTGGCAAACAGATTACCCTACCCAACCGCAGTGATTCTTCAGGGGCGGATCCAGGATTTTCAAGGGGGGAGGCGTGAACTTAAGCAGCAATGTCAAAATGCTGCGTCAAAATGAGTGTGTATCACGAAGCCCAATACGGCGTAAAGTCCGGGATCCGCTTAAGGGTCCTAGGATAGGATTCTATAAGCTCTCTGTAGTGCAATTTCAGGCAGAATGACCCCTTTTTTACTAGCCCTCTCTCTTCTTTTTCATTTATTCATTTATTTTTATTTTTGATGGAAGGGGGGATGTGCGCCCCAACACCCCTAGATCCACCCTTGTTCTCTCCTGATATATATGGGCAAACTTGTCTCCTTGTACCCAACGGTTGTAGAACAGGTGATTTTTTATCCCGTGTTTTGCTCTTTTTGCCTGACAGTTCACCTGGTACCCAACGTTTGACAGAAAATTTGCCCAGCATTTTTACAATGAACTTGCTGGAGTTTAATCTCAACCTCAAAGGACTTCACTGACCTCTTCCATTCAGAAAGTAATAGGGATGATTAACCAGCGGCCTCAGGCCTGCACAAGGTTGATGGAATCAACAGGTGAAAAATTGCTAGGATTTACCATACGGCATAAACGACAACAGATTTAGCATATGAATTGTACGAAATATACTTTCTTTGGAGAATGTTTTCTTGCAGGTACTATGATCAGGCCATTTTCCCTTGTCCAGGGACTAAATGGTTGGAAATAAGTTTAAAGCGGCAAGTTTTCACGGCAACTTGTTTCCTAGATCTTGACAAAAGCTGTGTTTGTTTAGACACTCCTTCTTGTGAACCTTAATCAAGTCTGAAAAATTATAAGTCGACGATACCGATCTTAATGTCTTTCAAATGTTATCACAAGTCAGTCCTTTTTTGTTCTAGAAACGTACTATGAGCTAATTGCAGTCAACGCGACACTCTAGTTTAAACTTCGAATAAGTTCTCTACTGTATCAACTTTCTCGTATCAGTTTCTCGTATCAGCATAAAGGTCTGTTGATGGCTGTCTGTGGCAACCAAGAAACACAGTGAGGTGGTAACCGGGGTGCAAATTATTACTCCCAGTTATATGAGATCTTCATCAGGATAATGTCGTGCGTTGTAGGCACGTTATGTTTTTAAGCGTCGCTGTTCCCTGATTCAGAAACTTTGAAAGAATCTTCTATCTCAAAAACAACCAACCGAACCTTCGTTTCACGCACGATGTTTCAGTTTAATCCGAACCGTAGTAACTAAGCTTTTCTTTAAAGAATAATTGTAATGAATTTTTCTGTAACTTTATACATTTTCTCTTCATGGATGTATGGAAACTATTTGACATCGCTATAAGTTTAGATGCACTAAAAAAGAGTCACTTTTGTGAACGTTTAAAAATATCTTTCTCATTCTGCGATGTCATCGGGAAGACATGGTTCAGTGCACAGTTTATTTTCTGTTCAATTGGTAAACCAAGAATTTACTCACTGAAAAACAGTTCAGTGAAAGGGTTGCTTGCTTGCTTGCGTATTGCAACTTACTTACACAACGACGACTCACAAAAGAAACAAATTAGGTCAGCAAAATCGAAAAAAAATATGCAGAACTTTTTGTGCACAAACCAGTGTAACATGGAGGTTTCCCGGGATGTTATCACAATTTTGCTCATAGGAGTACCCATTAATTTAACATAAAAACCCAGAGGTATCAAAATGCCCTCTAAAATACGCACACGTCAAAGTTGAGGTTAAATGAGACACAAAGGTGCTTCATGTAGAATGTAGTCAAGTTTGCATTTCCAAAATCCATTGCTGCTACCCTTTAATGTTGTGGAATAATGAAGACTTTCTTAGTTAAAAATATGATTCTCCCTCCATCGTCTGATCATTCTTCATTCCTGTACTTTATAATCTTGTTTCCTTTTAATCATTTTCTCACAGCTGCACCAGACTGCTTAGACAAGTTAACCGCCGAAGAGGTAATTTTTGTAGCTCCGAACGTTATGTCACACCACCCTTTACATTAGTCCAACTTCACAATAAAAAGCCCCAGACTTCCCATCACAATGTCAGAAATCGTGTAGCGTAACTCCTGACTACAAAAATTGGCAATGAAAAAAAAACATGTTCGCTCACAACATGTCTCGTGAATCTGAGAACTAATGGGACCAAATCAATTACATTGGAGAATTCGGGTTTCTACAGATTGTTGATCTTTTTCTATCCACAGTGTGCAGAATACATGAAGACAGGTGGGGGAAAGGTGGTATTGCCACTCACAGATATGAACCAGGTATGATGTCTGTGCTCATTAATTAAATCTTGAGGCTGGTAACCCCTATTCTATTTAATTTGGCATTGTTCAAAGCAGATCCATCTTAGTTATCTCTTGTGATGTTTTAACAAAACATAACCTAAGTTTGATTTCCTTCTCTCCAGTTCACCGATGAAAAACAAGCGATGCTTAAGGTTGTGCTAGCTAATGTGTCAGACCAATACGTCATCGTGGACGTGGAGTAAGTTTACCCCTTCCCTGAAAGCAAAAGAATGCAATCAATTTTAAGGAAAACGGCCCACTTTTTACTGATGCTCCTAGATCTATCCAAGGATACAATAACGTACGGCGCTATACCGAATACAAGTAGATTCTTATTTTGTTTGTGTTAACTTCTTCACTTGATCTCGTAAACACTAAGAGGTTCTTCAAACCTGACCTCAGTAAAGACTAATCGGTCCATTTCATTGCACCGATAAGATTAGCCATCCTCTGCTGTATTTTTTCTGAGCAAACAATACACACCTGAACCACTGCTGCAGTAAAATCGTCCCATCCAGAGTCAACACAGAGTAACCCAAAATCAATGTTTACCGATGCCAGTGGAGCCTTTACAAAGCAAACGGGCTGACCTATAAAAGGGCGCGGTGCGCAGAAGAAAGTTGATGCATACATTTATATGACTGAATTTGGTCAACATGCACAATGCCTTTACGTGTAGTACAAAGGTTGTTTCAGTCCCTATGGCTGTGTGATTGCCCCATGATAAACCACGGCACGTAGTACATAATCCCTTTGGGCACTTAATATTACGCGTTATTTGGATAAAACCTGATTTAACAGTTCTTTTTATGGGCAATTCGTAGTAAAGGTTCTATGGAATAATTATGTACAACATATTCAAAACAACCTTAAGGCGGTTTTCCATATGTAGGCCTACGTTTTTTGGCTGCGTAGCATGCACGATGCGTTCATGCGTTTCACTAACACGGACACAAAAATCGACTCCATCTATAATAAACATAACACTGCGTTCTGTCGTCAAAATTGCCCTGGGAGCGATTGTGACGGACACGCAACGCTTGGTGCAAGCGCTGGAGCGCATATGGAAAGGCAGTTTTAAACGGTAGCAGGCCCCTTTTATGTTCCAATTTCTTGGGAGGGGTAAAAATCACTTGGGAATAAGACTAGTCCTTTTCAAGATGCCTATACTTTTTTGTTCAAAGGTACAGAGGTACAAAAAGCTAACTTTGACTTTGGTTTATTGAAGACCGGAACATATTCTCATCACCAACATCCACTTGTCACCGGAGAACGACAACAAAGTCACTGTGGATTTCTTTGTGGCCAACCCGACGGGTTCCGTGGTCATGCCTGTGGCCTTCCGCTCCCAAGAGCTTTATCTGGTGCTGAAACTCAATAAGGAAACCATTGATAGTATGCTGGATTATGAGGTAATCATGACGTCATCTTGACGTTCATAGCGGAATATAATACAGGGCACCGGTGTAGTGACCTGACAAAGATTTTGTTCAAGTGTAAATGATTGAAGGTCACTCTATAAATGATATTAATACATATACAACACTCTGACTCTTTTTTGATTGTAAGAATCTTATCGATTTATACGAATCTGAATCATCGAATTCTCCAACTATATTCCTCAAATTGAGACTGTCAGGATATACTCCACAGTGAAACTATTTAAGCTTTTCCCCTGCGATTATGTGCAATCGATTAACCGAATACGACATGATTCAGCTGAAACATCCAACCACTTTTCCACTGCTCTTATTCTATGTGTTGATTTTTATGCAGGTGATTGCAGTGGAGCCAGACAGCAGCACCAACCTCCCGTTACCCACCTGGGCCTTGGCAATTATCGTCTACGTTGCCCTCATCATAATCCTTGGTCTCATTTATTTTGCAACCAAGGATTTCCGCCGGTAAATTTCAGCCTGAGTCGTGTGGATTTGAAGTCCTTTTAGCTTGTTAACACAATATTCAGACCATAGAAAGTCGTGTATGCCGTGCACCTTGTCGCATTCCAGATGTTTGGAAATATTCGTTGAACGGATCAATGGAGAAAAAATCATCCTTAACGACATTTAATTTTCCAACTTACAATATTCTGGACTGCGTGACAATTTTTATTATGCATATGCATTCCCAATGTTCTTGGTGTATTATTTTGTTCATAATTATTTGGTATTTTGCCACAGTCAGTGGAGCCAGAATAAAGAGAGAGAACTTCGTAAGGCTGTCTTAGGAGACAGTGATATGGAGATCGACTTGGAAGCTGGCGAGACAGATAAGAGTGATGAGGAACCGAAAGATACAAGTGAAAAGAAAATGTACCGAGATACTCAAGTTTCATTCGGTGTACAGGTCAGTCAACAAACGAATTAAATCTACTTGTGATATGCAAAGGGTTTACTTGTATTGTAAAAGGTGCAATATATTCACACATTTTGCAACTTCCCTGATAGAAGTATCCCAAAGGTTGAATTACGATAGGACAAAATGAAACCTGAATATAAATGGGAAAATTCGGGGTTTTAAAGACTTCTTCCAGTAAAAAAAGATGATTGTTTTTCCTTCAATCGTACAATTAGACGTTTGGATTTCTATGATTTCTTAAATAAATCAATCATTACTTGTTCGATTTTTGCCCCTTGGTGGATGTAAAAAAATGATCGCCACAGGTGAGCCAAGGTGATATAGCCGCTACGCTCGGAATAACCTACGCAACAGTTGAGAACAACGGAGACGTTCCAGCAAAAGCCAAGTGTGACGACTCACCACTGCCGGAGAAATCTGAAAAACCACCTGACTACCACGAAGCGACGGCTGATGGAGCAGATGATAGCGGGGCCTCTACGTCAAGCTCCGACTCTGAGAACAAGAGCGAGAAAGAGGCTACAGCAGCACTGGAGGGCGCTGTGAATGAAGCGTTTGAGGAAGATACGCATGATCAGTCAACGAGTCTGTAGCAATATTTTGGTCCGATGGGAAAATCTGTAACATCGTGGTTTTTTGTTTATTTTTGTAGAAACCATAAAACTTTTGGCAAATGCAAAAGATCACCATTGCACAATCGCTTTTGATTAATTTAGATTAAGATCAAATTAGTAACTGGTAATATAAGGAAAGCTGAAATTCAAATCGCCTGGTGATTAGTTTGTGAGGACGGCGTCTTTCGATGAAAGTTGAGGCAAATATCGACCTGGTGAGTACCTGTACAGTGAACGCATTTTCCATGGAATGGATGGTTTAATTTCTACTATCATACCAAACATTACTCTCAACTTTTTCTTCATATCCTTGACTAAAACAGCCACTGCAAACTTTATGCATGTATATTTTAGTCATACAGACCCAGTAGACATTGAACTTTCCTGGGAAAAATCCCCAACACGTGCAGGATTTCCCCCTACTTAAAAAGAAAACACAATCGTACCCAACACTTGACTATAATGTAACGCCAAAAGGGCAGACCTGACAATGTATTATTTATTGCATGTCATGTCGGAACACCCGTTTTGTTTGGTTTTTACAGCTTAATTCTAGTGAGATTGCTACTGAAGAAAAATGTCCATCCGTTAATTATTTTCCTGGTTTGTCTTTTAGTAAAATGTTTGAATTCTTCATTTGATTTGCATTAATTTTGTTGTTCAGTTAAGCGCCAATGTGATGCCAGTAACCTGCTGGCTTTCAATAAAATTACTGCCCATTGTAGATTTATATTAAAAATTGATTTGTGGATTCGTTGCAATAATGTCAATTAGTCTCGTCCCAGGAATGGCCAACTACATGTACATGCACTGGGGGCAGCTACCAAAGGCCGAGTTGGGGCAGCTTGTTCTCGTGTGTTCAGGAACAGCTCGATTTGTTGTTTGTGGGTCGGCCGCTCGAACGCTGGGAACGTACAACCAGGTATCGCTACTAGTTACTTGTAGCATGCAAGCAACATGCACCACGGCGTCGTCCTTGTACATTCTTCGAGAGTTAATGTTTGAACTAACTTATTTTCCATTTAAAATATCATATCTGTCATGGAAAATTATTGATGCTAATTGTGCACAACTTTCTATTGTCTCCAGTTTTGTAGGCCATCTCGATAGTTTTGTAGCTTTCAAAAATCAAATCTCACGATTTTTCCCGTGTGTTCGTGTAAAACCCTGACGAGGAGGTGGTGTGTGAACCTGTTCCGAGAACAGTGTTCTTGGGTCATGTTCCCGCCGTTATTAGAGCGACAACGCGAAACCTGTGTCAAGAACAGGCCGCCCGAACTCGACCAAAGATTACAAGACAGAGGGCGCTGTTAATGTTTGCAGGATTTGGCCAATTTACCGGCCTGCACCCCGTTAGGGAAAACAAACGCAAGGTCGTGAAAGAGGGCGCAGTTGCAAAATAGAGAAGTTTGCACATGCTCTTCAATGAATAACTTCAACTAAACATAGATACAATATAACTAACAGAAATTTCAGGTTAAACATGCATTTCAACATTTTATTTACAACAATTTCCGTGAATGAGAAGATTAATGAAAATGGGTCATTTTATTATAGAGATTTTGACAGTGCAAATTCCCCTTACTACGTAAAGAATGGAATAAGTATTTCAAACAAAATCAACAAAGGGATCCAGATCAGGAGATTGAGAAATCAGTGTAGATTTCCTGGACTACTATCAATAAAAATTCACATACGAAATTTACACAATAAAGAAGAACATGATTAAATGTGGATGGACAGCTCCTAACCATGGCCATGTTCACAGGTTCTTGTTAACAATGTTCAGTGGTAAAGATACTTTAAAAAATTGGGATAATTTCCATTTGGGATGAGATAAATTTTCACTTTCCACAAGCAAGCTTTTCAAAGATGTCTGCAACAAACATTCTGTACCACACATTCACTATATCTGTCCACACGTTCATATATATATATACACATGTATATACACAGAACACATACATGTACATTCAAACTACAGAATGGGGCTGGTTAAGAGCAAGAGCGCCCTCATGCAGCTTCAATTATTCACAACAACACAGAAGTAGACTGGTCATGAACAAGTTTCTGACTGACCAATCAAAGATGACAGAAAGTTTGCTGATCCCAATATGTCAGAGCATTCTACATTATGCCAGCTTTCTGTTAATTTCTATTTGGTGTTCCAACAACAACATTTTGCATGAAATACTTTTGGGGAAAGTATTGATCACAGTATAACGTATACACGTACAGGCTTCAATTTGCCAACCATATCAAAGAAGAGTAAAGATTGAGAAACTTTCTTTCAATGGATAAGAACCATGATTCCTGTTCTAACAATCTACAGAGCCTGGATGACCATGAAGTCTTACTGCTTGCACTATGTGCTATCGTTGATCCAATGCCTTGTCCCTGGCAAGGACTGAGTCTTCAAACTTGATCATGTATGTCGTTCCTTTGTGCCAATGTGCTGTTACTTTTGCAGGCTGGAAAGAATTTTTTCAACCGGATACTGATAAATGTTCAACAAATGTTCTTGCAGAGAAATTGGCCTCTTAAATTATGATTTTCAGTGGATGTGGCATTAATAATTTATAAATGAACACTACTGAAGTTTGGAAAACGTGATATGAATCAGTTTCTCTCGTTTGAGAAAAAAGAAAGGATGACTTACAAAGTTGCATCCTGTGAGAATGGCTTCCACAATCCCTGCAGTAAATGCTGCACAGTTCAAACTACCTGTAATGAGAAAAAAAGAGAGGAAAAGAGACTGGTATGAAGTGTAACTTATAAGATCTTAAAAAGCAATTCCTAAACAAATTGAAGCTGATCGTAACACCAAACGGAATCATTTTTAGATCCACTGGCGACATATTTTAAAGCTAAAAAAGTGAAGGAATTCAAACAAATGCCAAAACTACAGGCGGAAAACATGTGCATGTGCATGTAGTTTGATTCAGAATTCTGGACATCAGAACAAGAGACAGTAATTGTGTGGATGAATATTCAACCTTTATTCAACCTAAAAAGGCCTTACTTTCACAGTTTGGGCATGAGAATTTTATTCCCCTTTGAAAAAGCTGAATAAAATATGTTTTACAGAATAAAAACTATGACGGTACATGTATGATAAAACCAATTACTATATAAACGACTTCTTGCTTCGACAAGTAGGCACTGAAATGTCATCCCATGGTTGAGGGGTTCAGTGACCGATATTTAATAATCCAATAGATCCATTAAGAATATGGCAGTAACAACTGAAGATTTCACCTGCTGTGATTTATTAGCATAGCATGCAGCAGCGGTAAGCCAGGTTAAATGGGAATGTCAGCCACAAGACAGATGGGATGATCAATCAGACAAGTTCTTAGTATTTAACCACTCTAGGCCAAATTCAGGTCACTGGGTAGAATTCCTACACAGAAAAACGGGGTAAGACATACCAATGGGCCTGGTGTGTCAGAGCAATGTCTTACTAGGAAGCACGAGTCACATAGATTGGTCACACAGCAGACATAATACATAACCCTGATAATATCTATATGATTTTGCATAAAATCATCCCTGCAAACTCTAAATTTTAAAAATGGAGTGAAATTTTAAAATACCATAAACGTTTTAGCAGACATAGTTCTTGCCTGAAAATTGCCTTTTTACGGGCTACAATTAATTTTTCCAAAGACACCAAAGGACAGTGACCAAAATTCCCTGTTAATTAAAGGCAATTTGACCGGTATTAAAATTCAGAAAACAAATTCATTCATTTTCATGCAATAACCACTAGAGTACTAGTATACCAAATGTCTTTATGTGTTTCACTAATGGTCCACTACTGGGCGATTAAATTCATCACTGCAAATCAGTACTTGAAAAATTTACTTCCACTGCTGGTTTCATTTGCCATTTCACCAAACCACAATATCATAATATTTGTCTGACCCTGGTCAGACACTGCCATCCTGAGCTTAAGTGATACTTCCTGACTGATGGATTGAGCAACCATTGCCAAGGGTTGGTCAATTACAATCTGGCAAGCCAGCCTGTCAACAATTCTCCTACACCCTGCCCCTACCTCAAACCCATCCCATTTACCAGAACAGTACTGTTACTTCTACCCACACATAGCAATGAAACAGAGAAGAGTTTTAAGAATCATTATCAAAGTTACCAACATTTTTCACCTTCAGGGGGTGGGGAGGATAGGGGGATAGTATAGTTGAGAATGAACCACATGCACAGGAAAGCCAGAACTTGACAAGTGACAATAACCAAAGACGTTCCTTACTTGGAAAAAGGACTTGGCAATATTTGCCCAACTTCACTATGGGGAAGTGGTTAAAAGGAAATCTTGTTAGCTGGTTTTACTTGATGAGTAACCTGAATCAGATCCAAATCCACTGGCAGGTCAGGCAGTTAATTCTTCATGGATTCAACACACAGCCCTGTCACAATTACTGTGAGCGGGGGTCTGACCAAATGTACAATCAGACTTGGGAATTCCTTCTGGAGTTAGCCAGACTCCATTTTGCATTCTAATCTACAGTAAATCATACTTAATTCTTGCTTTGGGATTTTCTAACTTGTTTGAAACGGCAAACAAAAGTTCTCTAGCCCTCCCAAATTAGTCTGACATATTTATACAAAAACCAATAACCATTCAGTGCAAAATTAAAAAAAACCAGGCATTAATAAAGCCAGTCCACAGATATGGGTACAACAAGCCATTTTTGATTGTCCTTCCCACCCAGGTTTTGCAGGAGTGCTGTTTTCCTCACTCACACAGCGAGCCCTCTACAGTTACAAATGAAAGACGGCTCAGTTAACTATCAGCGGCCATAATAGGTTCATAATGACCAGGAAAAGATTAGACCATTCCATTTTGATGCACTTCTTTTATTTCAAGCGGTTGGAAAATACACTCAAAAATAAAACATAAAAGAAGCAAATCCTCCCTTAAAATTTAAGATGCTACGGCAGAAAGTCCTTCTCTGATGACAAAAGTGAAACAAGAAAATCACTGGTAAGGGGGGGGGGCAAATTCTCATCATATGGACCTATAAAACTCAGCAGGGGTATTATCAGGCCCAGGGAAGACAGGAAGACACAACAAATGGGGCCCTATTGTCACCCCTCAAACCCCTCTAGCTTTAACTTACCAAGCAGAAGAAATTGTTCGACAGATAATGCTACAGTACTAGGCCAAACAATCCAGCTGTGTTTTTCCCACCACAATGCCTTTTCAGTGTCTGACCCTGCCAAACTGTGAGAATTGTCAGGTTAGGGGATCTTTTATCTGATTACAGACTTTGGACCAGCTAGGAAGAGGTTCTTTCCCAATTATTCCACCAAAGGATAATGAAGATTTATGTTGAAATCTGTTGGAAGATTCAACACCTTTAAAGAATCTCCAATTTGTGTAACAGTCACACTCGTACCACCAGACAGAAAACTATCATGGCAAGATGATTTTCTTTCCCCTTACGAAATTCTACTTATGAATACCACAACTTTTGAGAGAATTACCCATCTGGTTTGGTATGTGTTGATGAACTGAACTGTAATGCTAAAAGATCTATATAATACATGAGGATAAGGAAAGAACGTGCCATTGGATACTGCATGATGCTAGATTCAAGGCTACCAAGCCCCCAGCAAAATAAGTGTATCAAAATACAACCAAAACATCACAGATTTCTACGGATTCCAAACAGTCTGAGTAATCCTTTCATCTCATTATTGAAAAGGAATAAGGTATGCTGTGGGAAATCTGAATCAGCAATACCAACTTTCTTATGTAATATTCAGTTTGTAAGTGACGTCACTTCAGTTTAAACAATGCCCACGACACATAGAGTTAGATGGGACCAAAAGTTGAAGCACAGCTTTAGTGTCAGTGGTACATGCAACGTGTGACAAAGTGACAAGTTTACCAACTGGATATGAATTACATGTACATGTATGAATATTGCCATAATACTTGATGTGTGCTACATAGGTTGTACTGTTTTGTTGGTCTGCAAAATATTACCTAAATACTTTGGCTTCCCCTTCCAAAAAAATACAGCTTCAGACAGCACAAATTCCTAAACCATTCAATATCTCCTAATTTTGAGGATACCCTTTCTATCGAGTTGTTTCGTGGATGAAGTGCACATCGAATACCCAGCATGGATGGCTACCTACTGCTTAGTCCTTATCAGAAAACAAGGGTTTGTCTGTGTACATACAGGTACCACAAAACACTGATCCATTCCACAACAATGCGAACACGTTCAATAAACGCCGCCTTGCCTGTGGCATATTTTTGTTGTCTTTTCAACCCTCCCACAAAAAAAAGAAAGAAAAGCCAGAGACACAATGCTAGAAGTGATAGAAAGAAGACTGTTTTCACAAAAACGGCATTGTTGTCCAAGTCTTGAAAATTCACTACCTATCAAGGCCCATCAGAATTACGCAGACAAGAAAAGACTGCTTGTCTCTTAGTAAACTTCACGGTCTTTTAAGCACAAGAGAAGGAAAAAAAGCACTAGACTAGAAAAGACAGCCAATTCTTGCAATATATCATAACATGGTCGAATTGCCAACCAATGCCATTTTGAACAAAGACCAGTGATTGGTAAGTGAAGCGATGCTAGTCAGCAGTAAATTACCAACTTTAAGCATCTAGAGACAGATTGAGCAGATGAACACAATGCCTTCCCTCTCCATTCAAAACTCTGAAAAGGAAAAAGAGACGGGGGAAAGAAACAGAAAGAGAGAGAAAACACTGCTGATGTTTCATTTGTTGACAAACGATTTCAAAGGTTGGAAGTTAATTCCTAATGAAACAAAGTACTTCTGGAAATGTTGAATCTTGCTGCAACTTCTGTTTGACAAAAAAGTGAGGATGGGGGATGAGGGGGAAGACTTAATTGTAGCTAGGCAAAAGTTCCTTGTTGTCATTTGTGTTGCTAAGAGATGAATTGAACTTTTGAAAGAAGGCACTGTCAGAGATGGACCCAATTTGTTGATATGAATAAATCTCTTTTAATTGAATATTCAGTCTTTGAAATCGGTACTCTTAGTATGATTTGGGGTTTTGTGGGGCAGTTGAAGGCATTTTATTTCATGAAAGTTGAATGCCATTATGGTACATTGAAGATGTTGATTCTGCTAGGTGGCAATCATAGATGAGGCAAAAAAAAAGAAGAGTTTCATCATGGTTTTTCTCTTGTTCTTAACACCAACTCGCTAGATACAAAACCAGTGACTTTGCATTCCTTTCTAGCATGTGAATCTTTGCACTTTTTCAACTTGGCTACCTGAGTTTCACTAATATGACACTACCATTTAGATACCAGCAAACATTGTCCCTCACATAATCTGACCTAAAAACCCTCACACGAAAGAACTTGACGTCATTCAACTCTGACAAAACCATCCAAAATGCAAGCACGAGTACAATGGGACAATGCATGAATGTACACCTACTTTATTTGAAAGCGGGGCAACCTTACGTTAAAGATACTGTACTATTGGGGCTTCTTTCGTCACAAACTGTGCTTTGTTGAGTCACAGTATTAGCAAGAGAAAGAAATCAGGGACCATTCAAGCCTGGTCTGAGGAATTCATAAAAGGTGCTCGGTTTAAGTTGAAGCAGCAAATACAACTTACACACACTTTGACTACAGCAGCAACTATCCCTAAAGTCATGGACAAGCGTCTACGATGGTCAAGATTGCTCACTTAATTTTGGTATGTATTGAGTTGAGTATTATACTGGTCAAGCTGGACAGTTCCTATTATGCAGGTTTTATCCTTTACAATCTTTAACAGTTTTTGTTACATTCCCCCGCCCCGCCTTGCAGACATACTTTTATAGTCCCGCCCTTCCTTTGTACCTTACATTTATGACTCCGAAGCAGATTCAAAGCAAAATCAAGAATGAAATGGATTGTTTTACAAAGCTTGGACAGAGTTTGGAAAACAACAAACTACGGTTCTCCCTGTGCATTCTTTGCTCAGAAACTTCTGGGAGCCTCCTATGCCAAATACCGTGCAGAAATTGGGTCGAATCGGTAGATGAACAAAACTGGAAAGTGACAGCCAATGCAAAGAACCAGTCTCAAAACCGCTGAAAAAAATACTGCAAAACTGGGTGATAAAGTTTGATGGGTTCAGAAGTGTTCGGGATGAAATTTCTGTTTGTAATACTTCACATTAAAACTGGTGCACTCTACATGTACTGTGCATTAGGGTACCTTAATTCTTGTAAACATTTTGTTGACATTTCACTGAACATGTTCCACATGCATCACATGTGTTTACATCCGGCAAAACGTAAAGTGATGGACGACACTGTCAAGATGTAATGAAAAACACACTGAAAGAAGCCTTTTGTCATATGGACAGAAGGGATGAGAAAGACAGGTACAAATACTGTGGGAACAACCTGCTAGGCAGGGATGTCATCCAGTAAACCAGCTTAGGGCAGCACAGGATGGCACGTACACAAACAGTTCTAAGAAAAGAATCACATGTAGCTTAAACAAAAACCGTCTTAAATCGGAGAAAAATCCAACACCTGGGTTTGCCGTTTTTTAGGGACTTTGGGCTGTAGAGCTCTGATGCCTTCCTCAACTGACTTTTTTCCCCACTTTTTGATTAAAGAACAACACAGGCTGCGTCCTTGCTTTACAGTATGTCTTAATATGTCACAACAAACATAAGTGGCACAGATGAGAGCTGCACTTCTCAAATATGCACATTATCAAACAGCAGAATCCACAACCGACCAAACCAACGTTCAAATTTATAAATTCTGACTCCATTTATTACATTTATAAGATGAAGAGAATTCTGAGCTGTATTCAACTAACTGTAAACCACCTTAACAACCATGCTATCTAGTAAGCAGTCGGAAAAAATACCTGTCTGATTCTGGAAATGGTCTTAATGCACAGCTTCCCTAACAGCCATGAACAAGTTACCAGGCAAACCTGACCCAACTTCCTCAAATTCTAATCTGAATATCTTTACTTTCCCCCTTGAATTGAACAACTAGAATTCTGCTTGCACAGTTGTGGAGATTTACTACATGTATGTACAAATAGTACAGCCTTGAACTCTTGGACATCCTGAATTACCTCCTCCCTGGTTGTGACACACCCCTTTCTGGTAACCTTCCCAGTAACAGCAGCCCATGACTAATTTCAGGCTGTTTAGATGATGACAGACTAAGTGTCAGATGTATGCAATTTCAGTCAAGGTTTTTTTAATTATCAAAGCAGGCAGTCAGTCATTTTGCATATGCGGCTAGCATTACTTTGTTCCTACCACCCATTCTCGCCATCTCCCTCTAAATATTTGAAAATTTTACATCCTTACCATCTCAAACTCATAAACTGTACGTCCCTGGTTAACCTAAATAACCACTTCATCATTTCTACCCTCTTCTACCAAAGAAAAAAAAAGTTCACCAATGCCTCAATTTGCCTCGTACTAAAGCAATCTATGACAGGTGAACACAACATCACTCTGCAAAGACAGGTAACATCAGTTCTGCCTTAGTGGTCACTTTTCAAGCACCCACAGACTCTCTGGAAGGATTTTGGGTGGTCCTGTCATCTGGACTTCTGAGTGAGAAAAGGATATGAATGGCCAAATGGACCACAGTGATCACTCACAATAACTGGGAGGAAAAAAGACAATGGCTAGATCACAACAATGATCCGGAAATCTTGGCAATGCTGTACTGTCCCTGGGCTTCCCTGCTGAAACACCCAAGATGGCCACCTTGACTGAACAGACAGGCACTTTTACTTTCATATTTAGGAGTTTCAATCACCACAGAGAGTGTATATTTCAACAGCGTCATGAAGACTGTTGTTATAGAAACCACAGAACTCAAATTCCAAACAGGAAGCTCATGTGTTAGCTATATTTAGCTGATAGGAACTACAGCCAATTTTATCCAGCCTGTTGCTAACCTAAGTCTGTGCTATCAGGAACGCATAGGCATCTGAAAACATTGGTTTCATAATTACAACTGCAGCATGTGATATGTAGCATTGTGTAGAAAGCAGGGACTATTCCTACATGAATATTTCCACAACCTACCACCGGTGCACCCTACCTGAAAAAGACTACTCATCACATTGAAAAAGACTAATCTCAACATGAGTCACCTTCAACAAGGACATCAAAAACTCTCTTTTTTAGAAGACTGCACATGGTTAATAAAAATTGAACAAGCGATCAGTAATTTGCAGAAAATGGAGTGCATTTCTTGTCTTGTCATTAGTTATGGAAATTATCATAGTACGAGTCTGTTCAACACACTTGCTGAGGTACACACACATTCATCTCAGCGTAAAACTAGTTCCCAACGAAAGTGACGGGCATAACTAACTCATGGCTCCATGTACTTTGCTCTTGACCAGTTTTCAACTTCAGTTTTCTCTGTTACAAAGCAGTTTCTCTGTCTTAATAAAAACCATCATTGACATTTCACTTTTTATCATTTTACATGTACATCAGGAATGGAAATCTTACATCAAATATTTCTAATTGATACGTAGTAAGCCTGTGTATACCTCAAAAATATCCCTAAAACTTCTCCCTGCCATTGAAAGCTTTGAAGCATCAAGCTTGAACCACCCCATTGAAAGAACCCTGAAGTTCTGAGACTACGATTATCCTTTGTCTCCATACTTCTGAATCTTGCCTTGGTTATGTTCTGGGTTGGTAGCTGGAGATGAGAATAAATGCCCAACTCTAGGCCAAGTAACTCCTCATCAGCCCTTGAGCTCGTATTTTATTCTAAGTTGCTAGTCCAGACCTGGTTGCGATGGTAATTGCATAATATTTGGAGGCACCTTGATGTAAGTCAGACTAACCCTTGCCCTAAATGGCTCCTCAACCGTCCAATCCTTTTCAGAACTACCACAGCATTGACCAATTATAACTACCCCCTCCCCTTCCTCATAGAATCAACCACTGTGGCTTAAAGAGAGCCCCATTGATGTCATTTGGTTAAGTAATTGGTCAGAATATTGTCCCCAAGAAGCCAAGAACTGACTGAATACAACAGCCACTGCGGGTGGGCTGGCGCGTCGGCCACCACATTGGCTGAGATGAATGGACCCACACTTTTCATCAACCAGGGCTGCTTTACTGACAACTAAATGATTCCTGCGTCATGAGATAGAGTGAACTGGAAAAAAAAAGCTAAAATCTGCCCCTTCGGATCCTGTCTATTGTGTCCATACCAAACATTTGCTGCCATCTGTTTTATCACAGCAGGTACAAACAATCCATATTCCCTTCAAGTGTAACAGAGTCAAGCTTCTTCAACAAACAAAAGGGCAGACAGATACTTACTTGCATGTCTTTCTAGACATACTTTGGTGAAATCTGTGGTCAGCAAAATTTGCCTAATTTTGTTTCGCAGGTTTTTGGCACTTTTACTCCATGTTCCCTAAGGTGTGTGTACAGACATATTGAAATTGGACGATTTAGCTCTGTTAGAGTTTTTACAATGGCTGGTTTGATACACCAAGAAACATCTCCCTACTTTGGTTTTATTCACGGGGCTCTTTAAATGAGAGATTCCTCTGGTTACTTTGTGCCTCTTGGAAAAGTGTGTGTATTGTGCTCCAGTTGAATTTCAAGTCAGGCAGGCTAAGGAAGGTTCCTTCAAAAAGTTGAGCAAGTTGGGAATAGGCATGGGAATTTTCAAGCAACACACTGATAGCTCCTTTGTCAAAAATGAGTCATACATTTACTGAAATGCAATTCCCACAACTTCTGTGATGAGTGCACCCTCAGCACTGCATGTGTACTTGTTTCTTTTGAATACAAGGAATGTCACATTTCTGTCTGACTTCTCTCACTTTCTTAGTTGCAAGGTGTCACTACGTTATTCTCAGGTTTGCTGGGTCTCTTTATAGCACAGTCCATTAAGCAATCGGCACAGCAAAGAGAGACAGCTAAATCCTTTGTAAACAAATCTTTCTTGCAGGCTGAGAAGTCAGCACGCAGTTAAACAATGCTGAGAAAAGGGCAGTGTTTCTCTTGGAGTAGTGATAGCATTCTTCCTGAATGCAGTACAGAGCAATATGAAAAAGTATCAACAGGTCTTAAGTACCCCGGCATTGTGGACTTGTTGCTGATTACAAACTGAGCAAGCTTTGTTCTCTGTCAGAGCAATGTCTAGGGATTCCTTGACAAACAAACCACCCAGTGTTGCCAGAACTGTGTCAACCATTCCTCCAATTTCACAAAGACAAAAGCATTGCCAACTATCTCATGGCACAATGCTTTATTTCCAATTTCCTTGGATGAAGGAAAGCATCGGTCTAGAGAAAGCAATACACGTCATAGAAAGCAATAATTCATAAAGTCAAATCATTACGTCACAGGAAAGAAAAATGTTCTTGTAAAGCATACTAACACTTTCCCATATAAGGCATGAAAAGAAAGAGAAAGGACTGTGCACAATGCCAAGCCTTGGATAAACAAGATACTGGCAAATTAACCCACCACTCAAGAAGATTGGTCAATAGCTCCCAGGTAAAACTCAGCAAGGAAACAAAGTCAGCAATGAAAGGAAGACATAGAGCCAATATCCTGGGTGTGAAGAAAGCAATGGAGAGACACAAAAAGCCAAGGACATCACAGATAGGGTGGGGATTTAGCAAGACAACAAACCCTTCAAATCCTTCCTCTGTACTCCCCCAAGAAAGAAAACCTCTTCCTTTGTCACCCTGCCATCCCCTTTATTTCGGTAAAAATTGAAGTGTTACGAACAGGGAAAGATGCTGGGTCTTTCTTTCCGATATTCAAAACAGTCAGGCAGGTTTTTTGGACCATACAGCAGCATTCTTAGAGGAGAGGGAAGGGTTTGGTTTAAAGGAAGTTCTACTCTTCAGAATATTACTGACTCTGTCAGCATGGACTTACATACTTTCATCCTGAACTCCTGATCATGTGGTTGTACATTGTTCACAACCAATGCAGGCTATCAATGGAGTCTGCTGCTTTTTAGTTTCCATTACTCAAAGTCATTCCACATCCAGTAGGCCCTATACTGGTTCATCAAGACCACCAGTTTCTACCATTGTCATGGTGACAGCCCTGAGGTAGTTACTAGAAATGTGTATCTTTTCCAACCCTCGCCCCCCAAAATGGAAAAATATGCAGGTCATTGCATTTCTAGTTTAAGCATGGTATTTGTCCACAACCAGGAAACTGAGATATACATATGTATGTGAACTGCTTCACGAAATAAAACTAGATACTTCCAAATTGGCCAAAATCCAACTAAATGCTTAAAAATCCAAGCTGGCCCCCATTCTGTGTTACCATTCATTGTCAAATGTAAACTTCATAAACACAATCCATTTACATGTATATCTCGTTATATTCGTATTGCCATCATGTTGCTATCATCAACTGAAACAGCACCTGCCAGGCGCATTACTTCAAGTATACCAGCCATGGCAAAAGATCTATGCTGGAAAGCAAACTTCCATTTTGTCAGAGGAATTTAAGCTCATGACAAATCCATTGATATGAGGAAGGACCTCATCCCTGAGAATGGGTATCTGCTGTTTGACAAGAGGGAAAGAGGAGGGGACAAAGATAAATAAAAGTGGGTGGTCCTATGACAGCGTGACTGGGCCGATAACCCTACCAAGGTGAAGACATGAATAGTGAAATCCACTGGGGTAAGTGCACCAGCATTCAGTCAGGCAGCCAATTAAGTTGCCTAATCCATTCAGTATTCAGTGGCAAGGAGTGATAATTGGCAATACGTTTTAGTCAGACAATGGTAGGAGTCTATTGCTCTGCATTACTGAGGGTACCAGTCACTGCTGGTGAACCAGCAAGCAACAATGAGTAACCTTGCCATTGGGGTGGGCAACCAGGGAAAAACCGCATCACCTGATGGTATTTCTTGCATCAGAATACTTAGAAAGATCTTTTAAGTTTATACACTCCTTAATCTAAGTCACTTTATGCAGTTCGTGGACTGCATAAATAGAGGTTACTGACACTCAGACACTGCAGTAACATCCCCGTCCAACTGCTTGCCTACAAGCCATTGTGGGTATTTTCCAAAAAGAAAAAACTTTTGAGCAAAAAGAGCTCCAAAGCATCTCTTATTCAAAACGAGAAGTATGAAACTATGAGAGCTCCTTGCCATAAATGTTGTTCCACAAAAAGTTATCTACTTCACAAATCTTGTCATGCATGACCCGTCAAAGGAAATTATAGGAGTACATGTAACTACAATTGGAAAAAATCTGTCCCCCAAATTTTCTCGTTTCAGCTTTTTCAGGACATTTGGTAATCTATTTAAATGCTTTATACAAATCGATCTTGACATAGTCAACTCTGTGTAGAGCAAACTCTCTGAACAAACCGGGTTTCACCATTCATCAAGAACCACAAATATTTTATGCTTGGCTGCCTTACCGGGAGCTCTGTAACTTCAGCGAAACAGCGTTTTCTTTCACAAGCATTTTTGGCATTTTTCCAGGGAAAATTCTAACAAGGTAGACCTTCTCATGCAGGAAATCCGGGTCAGTCCAAAATTTTGAAAGTCTGGATGGCATCCTATTTGAAAATGGGATTTTTCCATTTCACAGATTCTTTTAATTTTTTCCACAACAGATAAAGAATTGTTAAATAACGAACCACTACGGATACTGATCCATCGATTTCATGCCAATGCGGAACAGTGAAAGAAAAAAATACAAGTACATCCTTATACAAGTACACGCAAGTATTTTTTAAAAAATTTTCTGCCCACATAAATTGTATTGTCAGTGCTTTTTTTTTTTAAACCACTGCCATGAAGACCAACGTTTCTCATATCCAGTGTGTCACAGTGAGGGTTCCCTAATGGCGGTCTAGTTACACAGTGCAGTGACATCATGCCTGGCACACTGCAGTTTTACCCACTGAATCATGAGTTGCATTAATCTTGAATCACACAACTTGCAACAGTCTCCGATGCCAAAAAAACCCATTGGGTCAGACCCAAAATTAGAGCCACAAGACTTGGAGAGATTGCACCAACTCTTATACTGTCATGGTCATTGCTCAGTTAAGACAGAAGATATTGTACCAACTCTTATACTGTCATGGTCATTCCTCAGTTAAGACAGAAGATATTGTACCAACTCTTATACTGTCATGGTCATTCCTCAGTTAAAACAGAAGATATTGTACCAACTCTTATACTGTCATGGTCATTGCTCAGTTAAAACAGAAGATATTGTAGCAACTCTTATACTGTCATGGTCATTGCTCAGTTAAGACAGAAGATATTGTAGCAACTCTTATACTGTCATGGTCATTGCTCAGTTAAGACAGAAGATATTGTAGCAACTCTTACACTGTCATGGTACTTGCTCAGTTAAGACAGAAGATATTGTAGCAACTCTTATACTGTCATGGTCATTGCTCAGTTATGACAGAAGAGAATGTACTAACTCTTACACTGTCATGGTCATTGCTCAGTTATGACGGAAATTTGTGAGGTTGACAGATTCTTTTACTGTAATTACATGAAGACCACAATGAAGTAATGCCAAACCACACTTTGCCCCATGGCATTCCTACCACTCTTTTTTCATAAAGGGGGCCTATCATGATGCCAAAGACTATCAAATTATGAAAGTACGGCTGATATCCTTTTAAATTTGTATTTTTCTGACAAGTAATCTGCTTACTAACAAGATTATACAAATATCAAAGCCTACAATGACGAAGTATTAACTGGTGACCTTTACCTTTATCTTTGGGGACAGAGATAAAACGATTAACTAGAGACTCCTTCTCAATGATATAATCTGAATACATTTAGGTCAAGAAAAATGTGGTGATCCTGACAAAATTCAGAGGAAAGAATTTCAAAATGTCTAGGAGAAAAGAATTTAGTGCTTTTCAAGTTTTTTTACTGTCACATAAAAAGGTCATAAAAAGGAATTCATTTTATAGTACTTTTGCACTGTCCAGAAGACTACTTCCTGTCCGGCAGATTTTATGAGCTTTTATTGTCCCTGTGATCAGTAGTTTTAACCTGTTATTCAGACACTTTCAAGTACAATTCCACATCACACTGAAATAATGGGCAAAGAAACAAAGCCTTCCAGTTTCTTATTACATAACTATCCTTTAAACATAACCAAAACACAATTCTTAAAAGGATACATGTTCTTTCATCATCATTTGCATGTTCTAACTTGTCAGCCTCTCTCCCAAAAAGAACCTGCAAAGAAATAAAAAAGTACAATAAAGATGCTCATCACTCTTCCAAGAGACAAATTCTACTTCATGCACTAGGAAAAATAAGAGAGGGTTCCATGAGTTCTTCGCTAACATGCTCAGATTTTTTTCTAGGGGTTTTGTCACAACAAACCTTGACATAAAGTTGATCATACCTCATGCACATTTAGAAATTTCCCTTATTCAATTCAAAGTGTCACAATAAGTTTTGTCATTCTTAATTTGAAATTAAGTGAAAGTGTTCTGATTACATGTTCTAGGGAAAGAATTCCATATTCCGATGCCAAACGTTTTCCCTGCAGTGACCTAGGTATTTGCCATCTGAAAACAATATAATGTCCTAAAAAGTTAATTTTACCAGTGAAAATGTTTAGGTTTTCATTTCATAATTTGTCAAACCAGTCTCATTTGGTTTGAGCACAGAGCATTATTCATTTCCCTGCTGTTTGAACTATTCATCTTGAACGTTTGATATCACCATCAACCAGTACTATCCACCCCAAGCTGAAGAGCACCCTCTATCATTGAAAAGAAAGACAGGTGGTTACAAGCAGGTTCTTGCATGGGTTCTGCGTGTACGCAAAGACTATACATGCCAGAGTAAATTAATCATGCATACTCAGCGTGCTCTGCATCAAACACGCATATACTTGTGAGCCTCATGGCATGCGCGCCTATGCAGTGAGTACCACCAAAAAAACCCTCTTTTGTTCCGCCCGGAGCAGATTGTCGGTAGTTTTGCGCACCTTCCAGACGTTTGATTTAATGAAGAGAAGAATATTCAGTAGTTTGGTTTCTCTCTTGAGTCCTTTCTCTCTGATGAAAAGGAGGTCTAGAATCCGGACTCCAACATGTTGGCCCATCTCAGACAACCTTGGTACAAAAACACACCAAATGGACCAGGTTTCAACTGAGAAATAGATCGGGGTTAAATATTATGACTACAAATTTATTAGAACTACTGAAGATATTGCCAGAAGACTGCTTCCGAAATACATATCATACAAAACACCATATTCCTTTCCATTTTATGCATGCCAAATGCATGCATACTGCAAGTGAATTTTAACTTTTAACAAAACAAAATTGTAATTAACATAACAAGCAAATTCTAACATTTTTTGTATTATTTTAAAACAGAAGGCTGAGAAAATGGCATTTCCAATCACCACAGGCATTGATTTCTGGTTGCATTTGGTTACTCTACAATCATAAAAAGACTTACCTCTGTGGCCATCCAAACACTGGTAACAATTTTTAAATTCACATTCTGCAAGGAATACTTTGAGGCCTTACTTACTTGCTCTGAAGCTCAGGAACTGAACCAACTCTACTCTGACAATACTGCACCATTTCAGAAAACAGCAATGCAAAGGTGCTTATGTTAACCTGCAGAAAAAAACATACACAACCACAATGTACTTGTATACAGTCATTTTCCTAACTCCGGACTGGAAATAATTTTAGTCTGATTGCAACTCAGTTGAACAACAAATTTAAGTGAAATGGTATTAATAGTCTACTTTTTGTGAAGGGATACATCAAAAGTTTTTTCCAAACTGAAACTTTTAATCTGGCTCATGCAGGATAATTGAAAGTGCCGATGACACTTCTCCTAGTTATGGATCGGGTGTTAATAAGTTCCAGATCAGGTTAAAATATCTTGCATATAAAAAAACTAAAGCAAAAAATTCATGTTTCAGCCAGAACCTAACAAGCAGATTTTATGACAAAGCATTTAAATTCAGTTTATGAAGAAGGATTTTAGTAATTAAAAAAGAGAATAAATGCCTTGTATTAGTTACTCTACACAGTAACTAGTAAATGACTGAAGGTTAGAAGGTCAGTTAGTTTGACAAAGTGGAATTTGCTTTCCTTATTATAGCAACAGGGTGCCAGAGGTAATAATACCGCAAGTACTACACTGACAACTAAGTGAGCGAGTGGCCCGGTGAGTGGTAGTTTGTAAATCTGACTCCAAGACTTGTCCTTCTGACATAACTGAACTGTTTGGGGTTTTAAATTTAAATTATCATGTCCATGCCCAGTCTGTGCCTGAATTTCAAACCATTTCAGGCACACCCCCGAATGATGATTCAATCTGATGAATTCCTTGGTGAAGGACAATGAAATTGCTATAGAATAGCTTGACTTTTGGGGGATTAAGAACACCAAAACAATCAATATGTCAAAAAGGCTTTCTGACAACTTCAGGATTGACAATCTTTTGTCCGGTGATTGGGCAATGCGATGCACTATGGTTAAGATGTAATCATACGTATGAAGCCAAACCACGGTGGTTGGGTATGTATTGTGCATGTCTAAAAATGTAATTATCAGACTCGCGCTGCAGCTGTTCATCAGTATTTCAACAGTAAAAACACCACCAACTTGTGAGAACTGTGGTAGTCAAGTGGTTACTTGTTACAGCATAATTAATGGTTTGTGATGAGTGGGGTGTGGGTTCGAAGCTTGTGTCGAAATTGTGGACTGGGAGGATTTTTTCAGGAGAATAAAGCCCGAATGTTACAAGAGCCTAACTTAACATGTGAAGTTTTTATGGTTGGTTGAGCACCATACATCAGTGTACATGTACATGTCATGCATCGTGCATGGTTGTGAACCGTGGTTTGGCTTCACACGTGTAATTGCATGGGTAGGCCTGCCGTACTAGCACTAGGCCCAAGTTGTTTTACAACTATTCATCGTCAATTTTAAGACATCTGAATCTATTTCTCCTTGTAAGTATTATTCCCATGTCCTCTTAACAGCGTAGCATCTTCTGATTTTCTTTTGGTAGCATAATTACCTCAGCTTTCCCCTTGCTAAGAGGACGATCGACGACACTACTCTTTTGCTGAAATCTCCGTTCCGCCATGTTTGATTACTTGTCAGGTACTAGGTCTAGTACCCATTCAAACTTTGGTCTCCACCAGAATAATAGACTGGTCTGGTACCATTAAGCAAACCGTGTATATCCTACGGCTGTTTCGTGACCCAGGTAACTTAGAAGCCCCAGAGAATTATGAAAGGGCTGACAAGCACCGTGATCTGAATGCTATTACAGTCAATGTTCTTATTTATCTTATTGCCGAGCTTTCGGTAACTGAATACCTTCGTCAGGGCAAGAAGATTCAGTTCAGAATGAACGCAGAAAAAAATTCCATTTCATTCCACCTGGATGCAGCGTTTTAAGTTCAAAGATCACGCGCTGCTGCAGTTCCTTACGCTAGCGCTGTACATGTAGCGCAGATGACGCTTGCCGCAGGATATGCAGACGCTTACGTCACTGAGAGTATGCGGCGGCGCGCAAAAGTGCTGCACGACAGTGAGACAGGGTGTTTGTTGGCGCACACTGCGCAACTTGAAGTGTTCCGGTCACCGAGGCGACGCTTCGGCTGCATCCGAGTATCTTGTCTAGAGATAGGTCCAGATCTTCGCTCCATTGGAAATGCGTGAAGACGCGCAGACAACAAAGACCTAGGCGTAGCTCTAGAAGCCTGTTTCAGACACGGCCTTGGTCTCTCCCAAATACACTGTACTACAGTTTGCCACAGCGACGACACGTGATGCAATAAACCAGTGACGGAACGCGCACGCAGCCCATGGAGTCGAGGCTGAGGGGTGCATGGACTGTTTTCCAATACTGAACTTCGACTCCGTCTGAGGCTTTAACTGTTTGACTAGCTGACTTTGAAGCTGTAAGCGTAGTAATTAGTCCAATGGTGCCACAAAACATCAAATAGGATGCAAGAGAGCCAAAAATTACAGTAATCTAATGTAATTCAAATGCTTCAGGCCTACAATCGGGGATTGGTTTTGGGAATGAAGCCTGAGACGGAGCCGAAGTTGAGTATTGGAAAACGGCCATGCCCACGCTTTTGGATTCAGTCGGATGGCGTCTCGGCTACGGTACCCGGTACCCCACCGTTGTTTTTAATAGGAGCTGCCCGTCTGACCTGGGTTTACGGCCGTTTTCCTATACTCAACTTTGTCTCCGTCTCAGGCATTGTGTACGCAACCAATGCCCGTTTGTGGGCCTGAAGTGTTTAAATTAAATGGAAGCACTTTAATGTTTGGCTCTTTTGCATCTTACTCGATGTTTGTGGTACTATCAGACTTGCTATTGCGCTTACAACTTCAAAGTCAGGTAGTAAAATAGTTGAAGCCTGTGACGGAGCTGAAATCGAGTATTGGAAAACGGCCTATCCGTTTACACGGAACCAAGGAACCGGAAGTTAACGCGCAACTTCCGCGATCGTCCAATTGGAGCCTGCAAATCGTGGCGATTCCGCCCTTGTGAAAAAGTCATGTACGCCCATCAACCGGATAGATCGGGATCACAATCAGTGATCCAATATTGGTTCAATGACACCAGAACCCGCCTCATGGATGACGTGAATCAGCCTTGAGGCCACTGATCAAGGTTCAGATCCGTGTAAAACAAACAGGCCTATCGTACTGAATTTTCTTAATACAAGTGTTCTGTTATTTCCGTACTTGCTGGTACAGATTAATTGTCACCATATTGTTGAACCCCAGACCGTTTGACGGAGCTACTCTGTTCCCCTTCTCTGGTCTTGTCCTCGAGCACACAAGATTCTGAATTTCTGTAGGCTGTAGGCCTACATTGTAATCCCTTAATCTAGGCTGCAGATCCCTGGACGCTAACTTATTATCCGTTCACTAATTGAATCGTTCTCTCGTGAGAGTTGGTTTCCAAATTTAGCCCTGCTAACCCACAGTAAAATAGGTGCAGTAAATCTAGCATAATAACGCCAACAAACACCCGTCTAGGAACATAGGGAGAAAAGCCGGAATGAGTTGGCCTGTGCATGACTTGGCGATTATTCGCTAACAGCAATTGATTAAAAACTCTGCTCTGTGATTAAACTTATCGCTTTGTTGTTACTTTTGAGGCTATATAAAGAAAAAAAAAGGATAATGGATCACAGTATCTATCCGGGACCACTGCCAATGGTAGCCTCCTGGAACTTACACATGTATAATCAGTCTTCTGTCACCTTTCTTGAGAATCAGAACAGACTCAAAGATTGGCACACAACAGCTTTAAGTCGTGTTGCTGCGTTAGCGAATAGTTTTTGTGAAATGCAGTTCGACATTAAATCTCATCGCAGATTATTTCTTCAATAAACCAATATTTCACAGTAATAAGGTACATAAAAAGATCGCACGTTTGTCTTAAAAATGTAATCGTATGACTCTCGAAAAGACTTAAGTCTCAAACTTCGGGATATTTTCGAGGAAGCTGCAGGATCAAACACCCGGCCGACCTATGAAATTTTGTCTGTTAGATGCGTTTGGGAATTCGCTTTAATTAATTTCAAATTAATTTCACCTTTTCAGTTTCATAGTTATATTGTTTTAATTTCAGTCCCTCTTTGGTACTATCAGGCCTATAATAATCCGATTTCAACATGGTTGTTGGCGGGCAAACCTCTAGGGGTTAAGATTAACTTTGGTGCTACCACTGAACATCAAAATCATTTGCTGCAGATAAAGAAATACCAAGTTCGACGGATGTCTTGCATACATTTTTACCTTTCGTTTCAAGGATTATACATGTATGTATTTAGACCATTGTAAGTAAACCAACAGGTATTCCCATCTTAAAATTTCTCGACGTCCTGATATGTCGAATTTGGAGACCATGCCTATCATTTACAGGTGGGACATCGGACCCCCCCGCTTGAAGATATAGGAAATGAGTTCCCGGGGACAGTATAGAAATGAACACACGAATTTCTGCTTCAGTGCCGGTGATTGAATGACTCGAAAGCCGCTCCGGCTTATTCACCGAGTGCAATAAGCCTTGCTGTCCCTTAACAAAAGGGAGAGCTTTTATGGCAAGCAAAACGAGACCCTTCAAAGACTTGAAAGAGAGAGAAAGACACAGTCATCGTTTGTGTCCTCCATATGCTTCTTTTCACCTCGCGTTTTGTCCAGTCCTCCCGCAGTTGTCGACAGCTTTCAGTGGGGTGAGCATGTCTAGTCTTGGACGGAGGCCCTACGGCAATCCAGTGCCTGCTTGACGGTCATTTCACTGTGGTTCAACCAAGCAAAATACAATCGTTAAAAGAAGTACAATGGACCAATTTTCTTAGGGGATATAGATGGCATTGTTTTTATTTTTCCCAACAGATCTGTGAGTGTGGAATATTGGTAAGCACAGGAGATCTCCACCTGCTATCATTTCATCTCTGTTGAGCATCGCTTCCAGGGATCGGTGCTTTCTCGTTGGAAATTAATCAAAACACCACCCACTCCCCCATCTTTGCTGAGTTTAGTCACAAAGTTCTCTTATATTCTCAGCACAAGACGCTCTAATGGATATGTGAGGTGTCTGTGTGCCTGCTCGAAGTTTTCAGTCAAAGCAACAGGTGAGTCGACTTGGAATTTAAGCCTCTCTCTTCGTTGCTTAGGTGTATACATGAAGATGCATCACTTTCTTACCATATAAAACACTATTCAGAATTAGATAAAGACTTTGAAACGTTCATGATTTCCCTCAGGGTAAGAGTTCCATATACGGACATCACTAATTCCCCAATAGCCATCATAACATGTCCTAAAAAAGTCAAATTCAGCAAGGAAAATATTAAAGCATTTACGTAGAAATGATTATTTTTCAGACCAGTCTCATCCGATATGTGCACAGGGTGTTGAGTGATGTCCGAATATGGAACTTTCCCCAGGATGCTTCAGTTGCTAGGCGCTTAGGCCGTTTTCCAATACTCAACTTCGGCTCCGTCTCGGGCTTCAACTGTTTTTTACTAGCTGACTTTGAAGCTGTAAGCACAGTAGTCTAACAGTCTAATAGTGCCACAGAACATCAAATAAGATGCAAGAAATCCCAAAATTCCAATGTAATTTAAACGCTTCAGGTCCACAATCGGGAATTGGTTTTAGAAACGAAGCCTGAGACAGAGACGAAGTTGAGTATTGGAAAACGGCATTAAACACAACTGTCGCAGTTTGCTGTTTCAGTAAGTAGTTCCTGTCAATACCAAAATCCAATACAAGTATGTAATATGCAGAACGGTTGGATTCCTGATGAACACTGGTCTGATTTATTTTGATAACTGGCCTGGTTCTCTTACAATACTATTGCTTGAACTTTTCATTGCGATTCGGTGCACTAAAAATGCTAAGCTTAAGAAATGACAAGCATTATAGATTAGATAGAACTACGATGCTGTTTCTTGGTAGATAATGTGCGATGGCAAAGATTGTCCTGGTTAAAAACATCTTTCGAGCAGAACACCCATCGTGTCACACAGCAGTATGGTGAATACCTTTGCGTCGATTCTTGATGTCTTGGAAATTTCTAAAAAGTCTCAACAGAATGTAACCAAATTGCTCCCTTTAAAAACGTGAATTCTCTGGAATGCAAATCTGCTAGTTAATCCCAAAATCGCTTCTTATATCCCCCTTCCCTCCTCGACTTCTGTTCGAGTCTTTGACAGAATCACAATAGAGGATTCCAGATCTTTTTCCCGTCTTGTCAGACAGGATATATTCATTCCTTTGCTTACACCAACAACAAGCGCAGGTTTACTTGTCTGTTTATGCAGTCAGCTATTATACACCTAGTCTAATCTGACGGGAAACAGAAAATAAAGTATCAACAAGTAAGTTACCGCTAGAAGGGTATAGGCGCAAGTGTTTGCGGCAAACAAACTGTAAAACGCGAAGCGATCTCTAAACTAAAGTTTATAGAGCTTGTTTCTTAACGACTTGCGTAAACATCCTGAAAAGTGTGCCGTCGAGAAAAATACAATTAAATAGGACCGTTTCTGGTCAAACTAATTGGTCTTAGAGGACCAGCAAGCAGGTTGCCCCCAGCCTGTCACTGTCTAAAAAAAAATTCTCTTCGAATTCTGTCATGTCAGTTCAGGGAATCTGTGCTTACAATGAAGACACGACAGAGTCAAGCAGAAAAAATGGAACAAGTTTGGTCACAAGACAGCACTGCAGCAGGGTCTGTTTGTGCATTGGTCTAGTCAACTCATGCAATAGAAAAGATTCCCAGTGATTTTAGGGGAAAGGGGAAAATTCTTAATTAAATGGTAATAAGAAAGTTCATCCAAAATAACTGACTCTACACACATTCTGCATCTGATGCATTACAAAATTCAGAACTCTTGCAGTCAAACATTCAAAGGTGTTCGTTTATATCGCACCTGGCATCGCGGGTCATTTAAAAATCAACTATGACCAAAGACATATACCATTGCTCAACAATTTCAGGTACAAATAAAACATAATAATACACTTCATGACGTAACAGCAAAGTTTAATACATGTAGCTCGATGACAAGGACCAAAGTGTAAGGTAGTTTTGTGCTCCAAGCTTGGACGCACCATCTATGCTTTCAGAAATCAGACAAACGAACTGCAACCACAAACTGCCATTCTCTCCAACGTATTGTCAACAGTTTTCTCGGCGAGACAATCCTCTTTCATTAAGCCTCTCTAATTCTTTGCATGGGGTGTGACGTCGTTTGTGGACTTCTGCCAAGATGTTAAACTGCTGACCTCGTCAGCTGACGTTTTTATCTTCAGCCATTCTTGACTACAAACCCTTTAAGTTTAATTGTAACAGAAGCTGGTCGTGTTTATGAATCGTTTAACACCGCAATGTCACGCATAAGCCTTCCCGCGTTACAGCGTACACGTAGGCCATCCCGATGTACCAATTCGAGTTGTTTCTAAGTTTAGAGACCCCTTGTCACCCAAAAATCTCTCTTGACTTAATTTTAAAGGTCAGTGGGTTGTAGCTCTATGGTTGTTAACCAATCTGGCCCAGTATCTTCAGGGATGAATGTTATCCGTATTCATCTCTCTTTGTTTGCGTAAGAGCACCGCTCACTGGATGTGAAGTAAGCATGAAATTTACGTGGCCACAATGGTTCAGATAAATTGGAAAATTAGCAAATTAAGGAGCAGTCAGCAAGGTTGATGGCGTCATTGGCGGTAGTTGCTGATATCGATTTATAAAGTTGTTTAGTCTTTTTAGCATTTTGTTCTTCAATTTTGGAGTAACTGCAAACCTGCCATATTGATTCACAGATGGGTTCCCTAATTTGTTCCTAATGAGCAAAATATGCTCAATAGCCTCCCAAACCTGACCACATGCAACCTAACTGCAGACTAGCCAAGATGGTGGATGGACATTGACTCCGATAGCTTTTACCTGCTAGATGCGATGCCTAGGTCTAGGCATTAATTAAGAGCCGGTACGATGGTTGATATTGAATGGGTTGTGCTTGAAAAGACGAAATATGAGAGATTTCGATGCATCTTTAGCTACAACACTTTGGTCTTAGAAAGCAACATAAGCACCCTTCTTTTTCGAAGCTGTTTGGTGTTGAGTCTTATTTGATCTCCCATAATCCTCCTCCGCCCTTGGCCCTTTCATGACGCACTGCGTCTCGACATATGCCGGCCCTTTTTTAATTGCGTTGTAGCGCCCTCTTGCTTTATATTAATTTGCACACGACGACTGGTGCATGTCCAAGATAATCATTACACATAGCATTGAAAGAACTGGTAACGGGATAATTCGGAAAAACTGGATAAGGTCGGAAATGCCTGTCCCAATTCGGCTATCGTCACTCAGGGGATCAAATTTTCTTATTTTTGACTTTTTTGCTGGAAAACCTCTATTTTATTATATGTATAGCTAAATTTGTCTCAAGAAAAATGTCAAAGTAATGAACGATACGCGAACGTTCATTGAATCGTTCTGAATGGATTGAGAGTGTTGTTTTATTTCTAGTTTACTCGTTTTAGAAACTTTAGTTTTTGAATAGAATACGAAGTGGAGATCGTACAGGCAAGTGTCCATGGAATACTTTCCCAAATACCTAAAAAATGTGTCGTTTCCACTTCCCCTACTTTGATCACATTACCAAGGCATTGCCTTAAGTTCTACAGGACCTGCGACGATAAGCTATGGCCATAATGACCAAAATGGGATAGAAAACTGTGTGATTAAGTTCAGCCAGAGCACTTCGCACATACACCTAGTACTTGTGCAATGCCCACTGACTTTCCGCTTGAGTGAACTCAGAGCATTCTGCTGCAACATGAGGGCTTAGAGTCATGTGTAGTGATTGGCCAATGCTAATAGGCTAAAAGTTTGTCACTGCAACACTGCTACTCAAAGGGGCGGGAACAATGGATCTCTAGGCATATGGTCTATGCAAGTAGACAACACGGCATTCTCTGGTGTCCAGGATCAGGAGCACTCACACGTGTACCGTTTATAGCTCCATGCACACAATGTAAACTGCATGTGTCTCTCGTAGCTAGCTATGAGGAGTCCGTGGGCCTACTCACTTGCAAGTGGAACCACACATCGGTGCACACGCATACATAGGGATCTCTCATGTACATGTTGTATGTACTGTTACGTGTACATTCGGTGTACACATATCACCCATTTGTTAGCACTGTAACGACGCTGGATCTAAGGACACTTATAAAAGAGATCCCACATCAGGTATTCGGGACACTTGATTTGTTCCCCTGAGTTGAACCATTGTGCTTTTTTGTGTAAATCCGTCCAGATTCAGGAGGGAGATTTTTAATGTGCACTTTCCTGTTCCAACCAGCTTCCATCTGAAATCCTCGAACTCCACATTTTCTAGTTGCAGATCTTGGAATGTTGGAAACTCTGTTGTCTTTACGTCAGTTTCACACTAATTTGCTTCGAATAACGCTTAAGTTACATGTGTACAAAAAAGTGCCTGTTACTTTTGTAGATCAAAGGCCATTCACACTTGACTTTAACCCTTGAACTTGTTTTACTTCCACAGCCACAACAAATTGAGCAGCAACGGTTTGAATGAATTGCCTGCCTTGGAGTGACATTAACCCACCTCACGGATTTAACCAGAACCCTGAACCGCAACTGAGTAGAACTTCGTGTGGCTTACCCTCGCAGAAACCACGGAATATTATGTCATGAAACAATTCATTGACAGAGGTTGCTGAACGAACACTTCGCTGAAACGAAACATTTGGAGTTGGCGGCGATACTACTTGGAGTATATGTGTGATAAAAAGGCCGACCCATTTGGGTAATGTCTGCATCATGCCACTCTACGTAACCCCCGGCGGACAACCACAGAGTTGACACAACTCTGCTACCACATTCTGCAACGTGTCTGGCCTGGTCTGACTCAACTTGTGCTGGCGTTTGTACAGAACATCGGGGATTTTTCCTGTTTTGATCCGTTCCCTTCCCGTCTATCACGCAAGGGATTGGCTTCGCGGTACTCAGCACTACCCACGGAGACGCCGCTACGCCTTGGGTAAAAAAAAAAAGTTTCGGCACCGGCCGCCCTTTGCCCTTAGACAGCGGGGTAGAAACGCTCGGACAGGGCAGGGGTGAAACTAGACTATTGCAGCGGGTGTCAGCAGACACACTGCTGCCGCACGCACGGACCCACCGTCAAGAATGGGAAAATACATAGTATGGATCCTGGTGGCATGGATGTTTAGCCTATTGGCCGTAGTGTACATAAAAAGGATCTTGGTAGACCCTGGTCTTAATTTTCGTGGTAAGTAGCGTAGATTATCTGGCAACACACATCGACAATACCCGTCTTTCTATGTATAATTTAGCTCCTCCCATATGCCCTCCCTTTAAAGATATAAATACTTCCGGATATAGGGAAGTGGAGAAGCTTGTCTGGGAACCTGCCTTTATGACACGCTTTTCTGACGTGGCTTCATTACAGGGAGTTTCACATCCTTAGGTCGTCACGATTACTCACAATCCACTAGCCCCCTGCCCTGTTGCATGCAACCCAAACCTGTGTTTCTGCTATTAGGACTGGCACAACAGCTGTTCCATGAGAATCGATGTTATGACAATGTTTAACGTGATTCTGAAAACAAGCACTTCCATATTGAAGACTCATAACCATCTTGCTAAAATTAGATAGAAAGCCCCTATTTTCCCGAGTCATCATAGTGCAAAGGACTGCGTTATTATAATGCCCCCAAAAGTCATTTTTTTTATTTGATAGAAAAACAGAGCAAAATATCAACATGTCTGCTGTTATTTGGACTGAGTATATCAATACTCCAAGGTCGAGGAAATAATGATACCGTGAATGAATGATCACATAAATATAAACACAGATAAGTCTATTGCGTATCGGAGATATATCAGACAGACTAGTTACAGAGGTCTATAGATAAAAAGTGTCAAAATAGAATGGCTTCAGTCACTGCCTTTGTACGGGTCTTAGCATTGCTTCGTAGCTGGCACTGTGATAAGAACTCTAACGAAGTACAAAGAGGGATAATAAATTGGGTGTATTTCAGATTTTGAAGAGAAGCATCAGTCAAGTGCCTCAAGGAACACGCAGGATCGTTGTCTGCACCAATATTCTTTCATATGTTTAGTTTTTCGAATTTTTTACTCTGACATTTTCTTCCTTTTAAACGTAATTTCCCTTCCTCAGAAGATGCACGCTTTTCGAGATTAAGAAGCCAACACCAAATAGTGATACCAGCATTAGTGGATGAAAACGGCAACCACGTGTCCTACGACATAATTAACAGCCGGAAAAGGACTCGAAGAGACGTCCCATCGGGCCCACAGAACGCCTCGGATATCCGGCAGCTTCACTACAAACTCTCCGCGTATGGGAGCGAGTTCCACCTGAACTTGACTCTGAATACCAACCTGGTGACCAGGAACTTTGTTGTGGAATACCTAGACGAGCATGGAGTCGGTTCGACGCATCGGACCGTAGATGATTGTCATTATCACGGACATGTCGCTGGTCATGACATCTCTAGTGTGGCTATCAGCAACTGTAAGGGTTTGGTGAGTGTCCTAGTTCAGGATTACTCAGTATAGGATAGAGAGTAGTAGAGGAAGGGTCACTTAATAGACTCAGAGACCTCATAGACCGTATACATGTAAGAAGACAAGTGCGTGTGCAAGGAGGTTACATTACTCTGCTAGTAAACTTGGATCCCTTGTCCCAACTCTTACCCAAAATCGTGTACCGTTTACTGCTTCACTTACCCTGTACAATGGGGGTAGGTGCTTTACCATAGGGAAAGTATACCTGATGTGTTGAAAGTCCCAAATGAGTAAGATTTTGACTTTACTGAAACACAGTATCAGGTGCTATTTTGTGATGGTACAGGCTATTCAGTGAACACGTGTTTTTACCTCAGAACTCCTCGTACTTTGCTGCTCGAAATTGCACTTGAGAGTCATTGTTGACACCGGGAATACATTCCTGTAAGTAAACAACTTCAAAGGAAATATGAATCAAATAAAATGTGAGAGTGTAGGATTTAAGTCTTATCTGTCGCGACCTTTATAGCAATGAACAACGGACATATCCCACTCGTGTACATTTACTTGCATTATAACGGTTATCAGTTGTCAAACACAGTGGCGGAATTTAGAGTTAGAGCACCGGGCTTGCGTAAATGTCGTTGAATGATAACTCAAAGTACAGGCATGTCAAAACAAATAGTTGAGCTTTTCCAAATGCGAGGCACACACTGTATTAAAGATTTATGTCATCAATGTTCAAACCCACGTGGTGTTCTGTTATCAGGAATGCTCCATCGTGTAGGCCGCCTTGCCTTGATTTTCATGAGAACATTTCCGTGAATTCAAAGTCTTCAGTACTTCAAGTCTATAAACACGCTGTCATAGTAACAAAATTAAAGTCAAACATGCTTCAGTAAATTTATTGCCCCTCCCAGCGGACGAAATAATTTATTATGGTTATTAACAGCGAACTAAATTATGACAAATCTTTCAGGTACAACATATGGGACATTCCCTTGCAAATCCATGCTGCAAGCCGTCTTTCACTTTTAAAATATTATCAAAGTTGTTGGCGACAAGTACATTTTCAGGTTTTTTTAATTGACGGAATGACAGAAGCAATTATTGAAATGCTTCAGGTAACTGTCTCCACGGGAAGTACGTCATTTCTCAATATTGATTTTTCTGTTGTTTGTATTGATATCGATTAGTTTGAAGTAGTCGTGATATAGATCAATTTATCAGTTTGTTTCTACTGTCAATAGATGACGCATATCCGTCAGTTGGTGTGCCTAAAATAGACTTATTGCAGACAAGTGAATGGGTTGGGTTGTATTTGTATGCATGGAACCACGCTCCAATTTACATACGTTTTATACTTCGCTGCTATGGGACAAACCATTCAATATGATTAGGCAGAATAATAGATTTCTCTAAAACGGCCAACATGTAGACGAGGTGGAAAAATACGATCTACTTCATGTGAAAAGTGACATACATGTACATGTATATAGCATGCCTCTCATCCAAGGTTGACACCACTTGTAATTTCGACCTTTAGGCCTATTGCCTTGCGTTCATTTTGTTCAAGGAAAATTCTTAACTGAAAAAAGGGCGAAAGTGAAATCTGTCCAGGAGAAAACCTCTGAGATTTGATGCACGTGTGCACTCCCTTTGAGTTATTGCAACACTGACCTCAAACTATCTGCAAGGTAACTGGTGTCCTTTACTTAATTCCTCTAAAGTGGAATGAATTCTGCCTTTCTCGTGTCAAGATTAACTACTTCCGAGCGACCCTGAGGAAATGTTCGTGACTTCGAATTTTATCAATCGCAGCCCACCATCACCAAGTCATTGAAAAGACAAGGGGCTTTTGGTTCTAGCTAGCCTAGAACAGAGGACTCCTAACCGCATTGAATTTAAATTTAGAACTTGACGCACTAAGGTATTGCCCGAAGCGAATGTAAAGGTAGCCTGAAGTCTTTTCTGAATGAATTTAGCCCATGCACCCCACTTAGGCATGGCCAGAGCCTTGAAACTGCAAAAAGGGAAATATCTGTCAATCGTCGCGCCTGGACCACCAGCTCAAAGTGAATACGTGTACCTATTGTACGCTCGCGCGTCTTTTCCGAGCTCCGGGTGAGGCACTCTTTTTTAAGTCCCTGCTCATGGTTTGACTATGCTTAGGTTGGATTTTTGAAGATTTCTACTCATTGGGAGAGGGCAAAACGTCCATGGTGACAGGACCTTGGTACAATGAGTTGATTAGGAATAAACAGGAATTTGGATCGTTGCAACATCACTCCTACGGTGAGAGATTTGTAGGATGCAATGAAGTTCAGGATTAGGTTTCAGGGACATGCTTTCTGTCGTATATAAAAAGTAAAACAGATGTACACTTGGTCTATTTAGATCTTTCAAGCTGCATTTCGATTATGTTGTGAGTGTGGAAGGCCAAGAAGGCACATTACTGTAGATGGTGTGCCACAACCGCTATACTGGGACGATAACCAGAACCTGGAATTAATTGCCAAGGCTTGTTAAAAGGGCATTGGATTTAGAATTTTAAAAAACGCTTGATTTTCCCCTTTGGGCCGACTGGAACTCGTCCCAATCACTTAGGGTAAGCTTTATGTTATCTGAGCTATGACAAAGCGTTTTCCAATCCATCTGAAGTTGTTAATTCAACCATCATGTCTGCCTGAAAAGTTCAATTCACATTCCTGGTCTGCCGACTTGGCTTCATTCACTTTAAACCATAAGCACGCAATCCTTTAATGTTCGGAAGCTCTCGTGCGTGAGACGGTTTCTCCAATCATTCACTGTCTTGAAATCGTCAAGGCTTCTGTAGCCATGGTGGAATCTTAGACGAGAATGTCCCACGATATAGGCAACTCAGAACCGGGAGAACGGAGATAATATGGTGTGATGGTTCTGACCTTGTTGCAGTCATTCCGATGATGCCGCTATGTCCTAAAGGTGGAATGTCTGAGGTCGCGACGTCACGACGATAATGCTTTTTCGTATTCTTTTCCTCTTTGTTCCTAGAGAATTCAATTTCTGCCAAGAAAAATAATTTTACTCTAATCCCAGGCCTAAAAACTTAGACCTAGGTTCTTCCTGACAAGACAGTGGTCTGACATCTTTGGGAAGGGATGTATGGTGTGTGATTTGTAGGAACGTATGATACAAACAAAACCAGGTGGATCGATTGCCTGACTTGTGTCTTAAGCCTGGTTTCCATGTCGACGTAAGAAACGCAGAGAGCAACGCAATCTAGACGCAAACTACAACGCAGACAAATGGAAACATGCCAAACGGAGTTGTCACCGACAACGCAGACCAGCCCGCGAACGATAAGCAAAGTTGAGCCCGGTTCAACTTTGCCGACTGTCTGCGTTGAGTCGCTGAGTAGGCCTATGCAAACACGCGCTGGCAGTAGGCTTACGGGCGTTCAATGATGTTCGTCTTGCTTAGTACCACTCATTTTACATCATTCATTTTCTCCTTTTCACTAGCACATGCAGTCCCAATCGTCAACAAAATAGCTGACCATTAACAAATTACATCAAATTTGAGTTTGGCTTCAAGAGGCAACATTTTTGCGAAATTTTTCCGAATTTTGGACGCCATTTTGTTTAATATTTTGGCGGAATGACGTCGCACAGCGTTTCTTCTGCGACTATTTGCGTTTTGACGTCTTGCGGACTGTCTGCGTTACAAACAACATAGCAACCAGGCTTTATTAATTTATACGAAAAGTAGACCTTCCCACAGGTTATATATATGACAGTATGACCATCTTTTGACGTTAAGTATTTTAAAGTCAATGCTGCCATTTTTCAATAAACCGTGGTGATGCCACTTCAAACAAATTAACAAGTTTGTTGAACACAGTTGAAGGCTGGCCGCGCTAGCCACGTGGAGCATTGCACTTCAATTTTGATTGCTTTTCGCGCGACGTCACGTGCAGATATCCCGGATGTTACTGTAATCACGTGTAGGTTGTAAGTGTTCTCTAAAATAATGAAATTCACATGGTTCCGTCCCTCCAAATAGAACTTACGTAAATATTACTAAATGTAATGGTGCTTGTTATTTTTTGTTCTAATGAATTAAGTTAGGTTATAGAAATACCTGAGGCTTATTAATGAAATGGTTCGAGGCTGTATGAACGAAGGAGAAAATGACTGACCGTACATGTATGTTGATAATTTATATTTTATTTTGGCCCATTTTATTTGGCCCCAAAAACACATTTTTGAGCTTTAGGCGTAGTATTTGGTATCTTGAACACGTTGCAAGGGACCTGATATGATATTTCTGTTGTGTTGCACTGAATGAGTTCCAAAGTCAAGGGTGTCCGGAAATTTTGGCACAGATCGGGTCGAGTGTTCGTTAACCATACTAACGTCATGAGCATGGCACGCTAAAACGACTTCATATCTTTGAATCTAGGACCGACTACTTTGAAAGTAGGGCCGATATGCACAGACTGCAATTTACTTTTGAGGAAATTGTTCTCATATTTCTGTCCACGTTTCTTTAGCACATTTTAATTCGGGTTTTTGACACAACTCCAAAATGATAAAATTGGAGACTTGTTTCATGTAAAATTTTATTCTTGACACTTGGGTAAAAAAAATCAAAATTTAAGACTGATGGACAGAGATTGGTGCAGAATTCACCAGAATCTCACTTGCATGTGCCAAATACCCCTAGTGAAGTGCTTGAGAAATCAAAGCATGCCATATTATGGAAACTATGACCTATGCAGAATATTGTCACTGATGATTTTATCTTATTTTATATCTTGTTTTAACTCAAAAGCTATTTTTGTGCTTTCAATTCCCCAGCATGGACTTATATCAACGGCTGAAGCAGATTATTTTCTTGAACCCATTCATGATTTATCAAGAAATTCCTTTGAAGGACATCCACACATCATTTACAAAAGAGAGTCTGACACCAAGTATCGATTTCAAGAAGATGGGGACTGTGGAGTTACAGGTAAGACTGTGTGTTTTTTTTCTTTGGTAAAGAAATTAAGCTTTACATTTCCTAGGGGGAGGTTTGTCAGAAGTAGCAGCCAGATAATAGATGGGTGATTTTAGGAAGGATAAAGGATAGCCTTGGCTGTTCAGAAGCCCATAGAACCATTTTGTTCTTTATTTTGTGATTTCCTGGAATGACACTGTGGCGTAAGCAGTTTGAAAAAAATTGCCTGTGTAAGGTTTAGCTCAGTGGATGCTGTTCTTTTCAAGAGAAACAGCACTTGGTTGTTAAATAATTCTATTATTTCATTAATACACACTGGATTTAGCTCCGTGCCAGAGGTTGTAGAAACCAAGTCCAACCTATGCATGTGTGGGTATGTGCGTGAAACATTTCTCATTATAGCATCTTTGAAAGCACTGAGCATTAAACACTCCAAAAAATGAAGGACAAAACCTAAAAACGTGTTCATTCATCTTGTACACTTAATTTTCATTAAAGTATATCATCTGGTATGTGTACATGACTATTCATTCTAGAACGTCTCCTTCAAATTGACCAACTCAAACACACTTACACAGGGATAATTCTATCTTTATCCACTTCTGAAACCTACACTCTTCCAGCTTTCAATCAGTTGGGTGATGTTTAAACTGTAAAGTCATATTTGCCTTCACTGCTTGGGCTGAAGATTCCTCTTGTCTAGAACAAAGGAGAAGCAAACACGATCCCTGGACATCATGTTTAGAAGGTACATACAGTTCTGCTACACTATGTGTAATAATGCAGGTAGCATGCAAGCTCTAAGGAGAGAGTTGGCAGGAAATAACTGAACTGTCGATACATGATAAAAGATTCTGGAAAGTAATTAAAAAAATTGTTGGCAGACAATTTTCTAAATGTATACTTTTTTGAAGCCCCCTGTATACAGGATTTTTTATTTGAGTGACCACAGTCTATCAGGCCAGATATAATCCTTGATTTATTTTTAACTGGCAAAATGTCTTAAATGTCTCCAGAAAGTTTTTTTACAAAAATCTACAGTGCATTGTCCTCATCTGAGCTTATAGTTATAGTTTCTCACACTTCGCTAAAACGGAAACGATATTGTTGCAGCTTATTGTAACAATACATATTCCATATAGGCCTCCTGAGCTATCATTTTCATGGGGATTCCAGCATGGGATCAGTAATCCCCTATTAAGGTATGGAGACACCCTTGAACATCTTTGCAAGATAGTGTCAAATAGAACCCCAAGTGGCCTGGCCTTATCTGAATCTGAACCCCTTGAGCTGAAAAGTAGATGGATAGAGGAGAATTGTCACCCAGAGGTCATCAATTCTTGAGCCTGATAATCAGCCCATAGAAACCCTGAGAAAATGCACTGAGTCCAATTCAGCCCTTTGGTGGCCGGGATTATAATACTAACCATGTTATTTGCAACATCTCACAGATTGGCAGTCGTATCTTTTTTACAGCTTCAGAGCTGAATGAAGTGAGATAGATGAAATGTTGGAGTCAACAATTTTTAAAAAGTTACTTGAATATCGGTTTGATGTGAAAGAATATTTTTGGTCTGGCATTGTCTCGTTAAACGGAAATCTCCTGAGTATTCAATTCACTGTTCCTTTTTCTCTTCATTAATGTGATTAATGAAATAATTCTGTCAGTTGCAGTACTACATATAATGATGTTATAAGCATGCACATGTAAAAATATATTTCAATAAAGTTTGTTTTAGGGAAAAAAATAAACAAAACTGAAAAGTAAGATTTTAACAATATGAAAACATGACACTGATAATCACACTAAATTTCTATATATGGATAAATTGAAAAGTCTTTATCATTATATATGTATCTTTTTCTATGTGAATTTTGCAATTTAAACTTGATTTAGATTTATAAACCCATTAACAACAGTGTAAAATAAGAAAACAAATTAAACTAGGCTACCAGGTGGATCTGTGCATATACCATACATGCACGCCTGCCCATAAGGTCACATACATGTACATGTATTCTGCAGTATCTACGCATATGTACAGCACAGTCTGCTAGGTACACTGTGCCTTCAAATCCCCCCCCCCAAAAAATGCATGAAGGTTGACTGAGAGAAGTGACCTACAACTTGTCCAATATTCCCAGCATGATCCCAGCATTAATAAGGCTGAGGGAATGCTGTTTGTTAGAGTAGGAATTCAGTCTGGCATTTTAGCTCACAGACAGCTCCTTCCACAAGACTAGTCTTAGACATGTGCACATGTACCGGGCCCTGATAAAACCAGACACTTGCAATAAAACTTAAAAATTGAACGTTCAGTTCTGAAAAAAGTATGAAGCAATGATCTATATGTATTTGTAAAAGTTGACAAGCATGAAAACTGATTTTGACTAAAAGTGCATCCCTTTCAAGTTTTTCCTGTGTTGTTGTTTTCTAACTCCTGGATCATTCCTAAAATGTACCAGATCTTATTTCTGATCTCAGTGTGAAAAATTTGTGTGTGAAAAATGTTTTAAAACGCCTTGTTTGTTTATGAAATCAAGTAATGTTCATCTGTCAGTTCAGCTGTATAGTTGTACATGATAAATTTCCTCTGACATCCATTTCAAAAACCTTAAGCGTTTAAATGTTTTCATGGGTTGCTGGGGCAAAAATGTATCAAAATCGGTTTGGGGAGGAACTTTGGGGTGCACAGTAGTTTTTAGACTTACATGTTTGGAGGGGATTTAAATTTCTATCAAGGGGAATCTGAGAAGGAAGCACTCAGTGATGAACATCAGGGTTTGTTACTTTGTAGGAGAAGGGAAATATACAACATATATGTACAAGAGTGTCTTAATGTACAGCTCAAAATCAGGAAATGAAAAATTATGTATACCGTTAATTATGGAAGTACAGACTCTTTGGATAATATTAAATCTTGCCTAAAACATTAGGGATGATCTAGGAGACAATTTGAGAGGGTGATTCTGTAATGGAAGAATAAATTCACAGGGCAACGTGACTGGGAAGTGGTTGATCCTTTCCAGTCGGAAACAAAGCAAGAGTGGGAGGATTAAAAAGGAAAAAAAAGAGTCACAGATTTGAACACAGTCAATGAAATAAGGATGACTCTATTTTGGGGATGCACCTGTCAAGAACCTTCTGTTATGTCATTGTCAGTTGAGAAGAGGCTACCCTATGACTGAGGGTTACTGACTCACTCCTTTCATATCATGAGGGGAGTGTACCCCAGTCCGGAAATGGTCTCACCTTCCAGGGGATAAATTCACTAATGGGGGAGGGGTAGGAGTAATAACCTAAGTCAAGGTCTTGCCATTAATGCATGCTGTCATTTTAAGACCCAGTTTCAGCGACCAAAAGCTCTTGGGGGTTAGGGTTAAAGGTTATGTGTCCTGAGAGGGTTTGGCAAGGAGAGTCCTCATCTGCCATAGTTTCTACACCTTGTCTTAGGCAAGCATGAGCTGGCCACCTGGCAACCACTCAGATTGATGGCCAGTGTGGTCCTAGGGGAAGGAATAGCCTTAGATCACCTGAGGACTTAGCTGAGAAATTTATGAAGTCATGGCAGTGATTGATGGGAATTGCAGGATGTACGATGTAGGCTTTACTTGCACTTGGACATGAATACTCAGACCATCATAACCTTGTTCACTCATCACAGACCATCAGTTGACTCTATTCCTTGCCCAGCCACTTCCCCTTCAAGGGGTGTGAAACAGAACTAGGGGAGGAACATCCATAAAAATGGAAGAGAGATTGTGTGACCTGATTAGTGCCTTCCTGTTATCTACAAATGATTTTTTTATTTTCCGAAATATTGACAAAAAACTTGTTTCCAAGAAAATGAGGTCTTGAGACAAGACTTTATTCAGTGTCAAGGAAATTAATGTTACTAGTCCAGCAACCTGTGGGGGGCCTACATTATACATGTATGTCCCCAAGTCTGGTCAAAATATGACATGAAACGTATCCTAGTTTTCTATTCACTGGGGGCTTTCATGTGGATTAATCCCCATATATGAGCTTAATTCAGACAAGGGACATTACTCAATGAATGTCTCCTCCACTTGCCAAAACATCCGTTAGTCAGGATTATTTTTGTCATTATTAATAAACATTTGGTAATGTAATTAAAGACATCCTTGTCATTTACGGAAGCAGTGCCTTTTGCACTCAATGCACGAGAAAAATGCTTCAGTTCATTCTTGGTTGAATAAATAGCAAAGAGCAGCATTGTACACAAGTAGTAGGGAAAATAAATCACGCTGAATTTGTGTAACTAATCGGTCTTTTAAGCAAAAAGAGACCAAAGTTATGGTTTATGTTTCAGTGAAGTCTCAGTCTAGTACATGTAGCTTCATGATTGAGTGGTCGTGTATGAAAATGGAGCTGAAGTCAAGGACATCCACGGATATGATCATTGGCCAATCAGTTCTGAACAGAAAGCTCTGAGACTGATCCCCACCAGGGAAAGGTAATCATTTCTATTCATATTCACAGGCTTCCCAAAATGCTTCAAAGAAAGTACATTGGACCCCACAAATGTCACATCATCCATACACTTGTCTGGTTTGGACAATTCTTCACACCAAAGCCCCCCTTTTTTGCGTAGACATGTATGCAACATGATAATTTCATTTCAGAAAGTGAAATTGTTTCAGACTCCAAGGATTCATGGAATATCCCTGGAAATTGAGAACAACATTCTCAGCATGAAGTTGTTACTGTAATACTCTGCTCTGCAGGAGAACTCTTAGTCCTTCCTCAGAGGAATATTGGTATATTTGTCTGCCCTGGGGAGGCTATAATGGCACAAGTCGTTGGTCACAGATTGCCATAATATTGTTCTGTCTGCATATTGTAGGTGTACAAAGTACATGTACATGTGTATGTGCACCTTGTGACATATACCGGTATGTACGCTATTGTTCTTTGTAACCTAATTAAAACTGAATTTCTTGGGGGGTCCGTAAAAAGCATGCAGATGTACTTTCTATCTGAATTATGT